TTCCATTTTATTAAAATTTTTGAATAATTAATGTACTCACAAGGAAAGGAAATTTATTTATAAAAAATAAGTTGTATGTTGGAAAATTGATATTCAAATATTTGTAAAATTTTGATTTGGAGGGGGGGGGGGGTTAAATTTTTATTGGCTTAAAATGATTTATAAAAACAGTCAAGTTTGACGATGGGGGGATTCCCCCCCCCCTATTGGTTACTCGCATGAATAACTGTAAGCAGAGGCGAATCCAATCATATAAAACCTAGATTGTCTCAATATAAAAATCTAATACGGGAGGTCGGGATTAATTTTATCCATAAAAAATTGAAAAATAAGCTAAGCAAATTTTCAAAATATGTAAAATTAGTTTGTTTCTTTACATATCTTTATTGGTATTTAATATTTAAAAAAAATGCGGAATAACACTATTCCCGGTCTCTCTTGAACCTCGACATATAGATATAAAAATATAAGATACATTTTTTAAGACAATACTATACTTTTTGGTGAACAATTGAATATATATAATTTAAATTGCTAAACAAATAAAAATTTAGAAGAATTAAATAACATTTCAGAAAATCAAACTAGTATTTTATACATAGATATGCCCAATTTTTTTAAATATTTCTAATTTTCTTTTTAAAAATAAATAATTATTTTGTTAAGAAAAATATGCTTTCTATTTTTTATTTATTTTTAATTTAATGGCCTGTAAAATTTCGAGCAAAACTATCAAAAGTGGTAACAATTTCATTAAAATTATTTTACTTATTCTAAGAAAATATATAATAATTCATAAATCTTAACAACTGATTCAATTCAAAATCTTATATTAATAAAAATGAATATAAAACTCAAAAGATAACGTTGTTAAACAAATTTTTATTAAGTTTGATGAATAAAATATCGTTCAAAGTACATTTGTCTAACTTATTTCGTAATGTGGTTGCTTAATCGTAGTGCACAGAAGGATCTTTCCATTGACACTTGCGAGCAAGGATCAGAATACTTGCTAGAGGGTATATAATACAGGTTCCTCAAATATTATGGATAATTATTAAAATATTTTGATTGGAAGGTAATTTTTGTCAGCTAATTAGAGTTGAATCACAAATAAATACATTTCGGCTCAAAATTAAAGTCAAGCCAACTATTGGTACAACTAGAACCAACTTCTGAGGTGACTAATGACATGAACCAACTCATCTAATCGGGTTAGTCTTAGCCAATTTTTACAACTTTAGTGCAGATCCCGATTATTAATTTTATAAACATATATTACCCTAATTTTTTGATTATATATATGAAATCGATGAATTTCTATAATAAATTTTTACCGATCTTAGAAGGTAAATATTTCGAATTCGATATTAATTATTCAAGTAATATGTGAATCTCTTCCTCTAATTTTTAAATAGGGTTATCAATTACAACTCGAGTTGCTAGTTTAAAGTTAAAATTAACAATATAGATTATAAGAAGAGAACGATTTTTTAAAAAGGGAATCTAATATTATTAAATATGATTATTTCTATGCTAATATTGAAATATTCGTCCTCTATGCATAAAAATATGATTGAGCTAAATATTCACAATAAAATATTATAATAAGTTGGCTTGGAGTTGGTGCTCGGGTCTATGGATTTGGTTTACCAGATCGACCCATTTAGTTTGGTTGGTTCCGGTTCATTTTTTCTACTAACAGACAGGGTCGTGGTCGTTTTAAACTAACTAGTTAACCACACTAGCCATGCCGATAGGGGAAGACAGGGCTATTCCCGCAAGCGAGGCAAAACTGAGAATTCTATATGCTTTTAAGAATCAGATGCCTAACATAATATTTAGTTTTAACAATACACATTCGCTTCAACTTATTCTATAACTATGTCTCCCACGTGGATTAAAATGACTGGTGAAGATTGGTTCTCAGCATTTATGAAGAGACACTTTTTATAATTTGCCCATTTTAAAATTATCTTCTATTAAAATCTAGCCAAAGAACATATGCCCATAAATTCCCCGGGTTGTGTCCGAGAATGACTCGGGATTATGACAATTCCGGACAAAATATGATTCTCGCTAAATTCGTTTGGAGGAAAAAAAAATTACTTGAGATAAAAAATTAATTAGCATAATGAATAGCCTAACGATGGGGCTTTCCACGCATATAGTTATTGTAAAAACACAAGAAGTTGAATCTGTAAAAATTAAGATTAATTAACGATTGGAAGAATAGATTGAAATAGAAGATAATATTTGGTTAACAAGCCGTAGGAAACCTTAAATAAGTAAGGATTTGCAAGACTAAATATAAGGTTGCTAAAAATAATCATAAAAATGTATCTAAATATACGAATAAATAATTTTACTATCACTTTATTACATAATCCAACATAATTATAAAATAATTGAACATAAGAACCAAAAATATAAGTAACAATAAAGAAAATAAAAAAAGTAAAAAATAAAAAAGTGAATAACTGCAATAAACTATTTATGTATATAATATCTTTGCAATTATCTTGCGTTTTCATCTCATTTACATAACAAAATTATTTTTCTAACAAAATATACTGTCTGTGCATAACCAATCTTCATACTTCAGTAAGTAATTTTGCATATAATAATTTAAAAAAACATAAGTTATAATATTATATATCACAACAGTTATTTTTGCGAAATCTTATTTAATCAAAAATGACTTAAATAGTCCGGTTACCTCCTAATTATTTTTTCAGAAGAAGATTATTTTACTCTGACATAACTTCTTTATGAAAACATTTTTTTACACCAATAAAGAAAATTAAGGACAATATGTTTACACGTTGTAGGTGTGAATTATGCGCTTATTCAAATATTATAACCTCGATGTCCTGCAGCTCAAATATAATAAAGAAATTTGTGTAAAGGATCTAAAAGTTTTTTAAATATAATTTCCTCTAATTATTTTTTAATAAATTCCCCCAATTAAAATGTTTATTTATTAAATATAATACAATCCTCCAATCTGTGCTAGATGAACATGCATTTATATAATATTTACTTAGTCTTTTTTTAGGTAGCGAGTTACATTTTTAATAGGGAGTAACGCGTTCCTTTTTTAACGAGGTAACCAGTAACGGTAACACCTTTCCTTTTTAAAGAAGGTTACAAGTATTGAGAACGCGTAAAGAGTAGCGTGTTTCTATTTTGAAGTAAGTTGCAGCATTATTAAAACAAAAGTATCATTCCTAATCTACCCTCTAACATTCGACCTTCTATATCTCTAACCTTCTGAAGCATTATTATGATTTTTTTGTACTATTATGATTGTCCACGACGTTTATTACCTAACGTTTATTACCTATAATAATCGAATAACGTCCGACGCTAAATATCATAACCCATTTTTGCATGTAGTCAAAATTAGAGGGGTTAGTTTGCAATATTTATTTGTTTGTTTCATTATGCGTAATTACAAACGTAAAAGAGCTCCTATTGATGAAAAAAATATGGCAGAAGCTATTAAATTTAAACAAGAAAATAAAGTCCCTTTAGCCCAAGTGGCAAAGAAGTAATTTATGCATAGTAAATACAATATTTTATATTAAATGAAAATTTAGATATAGTATTCCATATAATACATTAAAGTTAAGACTAATTAATAAAGATAAACCTCATCATACCAGATTCATTTTTAATAAGGATGAGGAGAAGGTATTATTAAAATATATTATCGAAGACTCTAAATATTTTGTACGCATATCACCTAAACAAGTAAAATTTTGATTTAAAAATTTTTTTTATTAAGGAAATTTCATTTTGATGAAAACTCTCTTTATTTTAGCATTCTATAAAATATTAAATTAGTTGTTTATATTATATCAATATAATATAATTCAATATATTTTATGATATTTTTACTGTTTATCCTTATATTATTCATATTAAGAACATTTATTTTTGTATTTAATATTATGTAATTCTATTTAATAAATTTATGTTATTTTTATAGTTTATCTGAAATAAAATACAAAAATATCATAAAATTAGTTTTTAAAAAAATGAATTTTCATCATTCAATATTTTTTTATTAAGGAAACAAATTATATATTTAACATTTCAATTACAAATGCTGTTATAAAATTTTATTATCCAAATTTTCCTTTTATTTAAATGTTATACAGTGATGACCAGATTTGATTAAAAAATTTCCATATTGTTTAATTTATTTGAAATAAAATTATTTGACTTGCCAAAAATTGTTAAGATAACATATTTATATATTCTTTCCAAATTTTAAAAGTTAAATAATTTTATTTAAAAATAGATTAAATATATGAAGAAAATGTTTTCTATTAAATCTGCACAACACTATTTTGATATGTTTTTTCTATTTTATTGATATTTTTAGCCATATTTAAAATTTTTAACTAGGTATTTAATTGTATTATAATGTTGATTCATATTTTTTTTTAAATTGATTAATATTAAATATTGTATAGTTAATTAAATTATATGCAATAAAGTAAACCTAACCTAATAATGTTTTGTATATTGTTTTAACAATATATTTGTACCATTAAAGTTGAAACATATTCTGAGTTATCTTTTTAAATAAAATATCATTTATAAAGAGTTGTAAGCTTAGAATGGACTTACCTCCTTACTTTTTTATCTACTTAGTTAATTTATATCAAAATTGATCTCAATATAATTTACTATCAGTACTTTGCATATGTTAATTTTACTTAATATGTCAATCCAATAATAGAATATTTTTTTAAAAAAAATGGATCTTCCTTACCAAATATTATATATTTTTATGTTAGGTAAAAATATACACATTCAAGTTAATATTTTATATAGATAGTATCCTTAAATAAACTACTCATAAAAGAAAAAAATTGTAATTTAAAAGCTTTAGATTCAATATAATATAATATTAAAAAGTATTTAAAAATAATAGAAGAGGGTGAACAGACTGGCCATTGGACCTTTAGCGGTGTTCATTCATAATTATGGGTTCTCGCAAACGAAAAACAACATTTGGTTCTATTACCTATGAACAAACTAAAGCAGCAATTGAAGATATTGTTGCCAACAAAATGTCAACTCGTTCTGCATCCTTTAAATACAATATCCCCAGGACAACAATGAGAAGAGCTATGAAAAAATATAAAGATTCTCATCAATATCCAAAAATGGGGTGGACATCAAACAGATTAGTATTCTCACCATCTCAGGAAAATAAACTGCTTGGCCAATATATTATTCAGGCAAGTGAAGATTTTATGGGATATAGCCCTAAAGGAGTAAGTATATTAATAAGGATTATATAAAAGTTAAAGGTATATGTAATAATCTAATTTAGCCTAATGTTTAGTTTAAAAATTATAAGATAAAAAGTTAAATTAAATTTAATTGTTTAAAAGAGTTTGTTTATGATATTTTATTTTATAACTTATGTATAATATAGTAATTATAGGTAAGCATGTGCCAGCTTACAATGTTGAATATTAAAATAATTCACTTGCAAATTTTTAAATGTAACTTTGTTTATTATATGGCCAAAATAAAATCAATAATTAGCTTATCAATGCTCAATATTTAAATGACTTTCATGTATAAAAGATTTTTAATTTAATTTTGTTTATGAATGTGATATTTTTATTATATAACCAAAATGAAGAAACTTGTATCAGCTTACAGTCAATATTAAAATGCTTTGCATATATTTTTTTTCTTATGTAACTTTGTTTTTGACATTTTTATTTGATAACCAAATACCTAATATTAAATAAGCATACATCAGCTTTGCTATAAAGGCTTATCCATGTTTATCTTAGATTTTTAAAAATATATTAATATATTATAATAAAAAAAATTAATGTATATAAAATTTATATTTAATATATTATATATTTTGTTGTTGTGATTAATAGTTTTTTTTTAATTTTTAAAAATTAAAATAATACATTTTATGATATGGCCAGTCAACACCAGGTATGGGGGTTTTGACTGGCCCAAAAATCGACTCTGATAGAAACTGATATCGAAATCTCGAAACTTAATCTTTTTTTGCTATATTATTTACCTCCTTTTTTTTAAAAAAAAAGCACCTATATCAAGGTAGATTTCCATACTAGTTTCTATGAGAGTCGATTTTTATGGCCATCAAGTCAACCCCTCATACCTCGTTTTGACTGGTCATATCACAATTAAAATTTTTTAATTAAAAATATTGTTTTCATCGTTTATTAAAAAAAACATGGTTATATAGCTCCTGGTCCTCCCCTATCTACTATACATAATTTGCTGTAATGTTAAATACTCCTTGCATAATTCCTCTATAGATGCAACATTAGGTTGGAATAATAGTGGGATCCGATCCGGCATGATTTAACAGCTGATCGATTTTTAAAATCTGTTTTATGAGATCAATTTTTTATTATTAATATTATTAATTTTATCTATAATTCTATTCAAAATAATTAGAATTATTGATTTAATAAAAGAAAAATTGATCGCACTATAAGATTTTTACTTTCCACTTTCACATTCTACTAGGTAAAAGGCTCAAACTTAGATATTATTTCGATTAATGTTTGGGCGGGTAATGATGTATATAATTAACCAAATTTTGATAAAATGCTATATAGCACCCATTTTTAAATATATATATTACTAACCCGACTGTTAATTTCAATTCTAATTCTAACCTTTTCCGGAAGGGTGATTCCAGAATAAAAAATTGTCCTGAGCTGAAATTGAAATCGAATCAGCGTGATATCATTTATCAATCAAGTTATATACACCCTAAGTCACACCAGCCACTCCAAACCAATTTAAATAATATTTTTTGTATATATAATGATAATTTAAGACATTATCTAATTTTTTTTTACCAATAAAACATCACATTTTATTACCCTGTTGGGAGAACTATCTTTCTATATATTTAGATTAATTCTATGATCTCAAATAATTCTTTTTAACCGTCAATGAGAATTTCTTTTTGCGAATGTCAGATCTCCCAGCTGTTTTAGCAAAGCTTCTTCCAGATGATACTTCTCAACAGAGGTGATGGCAGAATTATTTAACGCTGACCTTTTTTGCCAATACCAATCGCCGATGCCAATATCCGGTATCGATTGATGCCATGAGTATCCTTGAGTCTGTTTCTCGATTAAATAAGTCATCTTTTCCTAATTGAATTGCGTCATTTCTAACTAGTTTATCATAGAACGGGAATTTTAAAATTTGCTGCTGGGATATTCGAAAAATTTTAGGGCGATGGGGGTTAAATTTTTTTCGAGCATGGGGCGGGGTGTTTTAATCGATAAAATAGTCCGTGGCTTAAGAAGGGGGAGGGGGGTGAAAGCCGCTTGGAGAACATTAAATATGCGAAAAAATGGAGACAAAATTTTTTATCAAAGTTTGTGATCTAACTATTTGTTTGATGTTTTTTTTTAAATATTGTATTTTCATAATTTTATAAAACTAAACTATAACACCTAAATCGGGAATAATTTGGTCAAAAAAAATGGTAGATCATCATTATTTGTTTAAAAATAATACAAATTCATTTCATAAAGAATGATAAGCTAATTTTTACAATATTTTATTAACTGATTGTTTCCGTTGGCCGATCTATTCGCTCATTAGCCATTTTTTTTGTACATAATGAATTATTTTACTGTATATAGTTAGGTCTATCACGTAAATCCTTCATGTTACATTCATAAGAGGTTAGGCGTGCTCATGTGGAACCCCTTCTTAAAAAATGATTAATGAACCAACCAAAATGTGGTATGATCAAATAACCAATGTTTATTTATAAATAGTCATCTTCGAAGAGCCTCTTTAGCCTAGTCGGATGAGTTCGTATATCTCAATCCGAAGGTTTGGGTTCGAATCACGCAGGGATCATTTTTTTTCTGTAGCCAACTTGGTGGTTCCATCCTTGGGTGGATAATAGATAGTAGATCTGGCTCGATTAGGTGATTCCATTAATATATAGATCTCATTACATTATAAATAAATTGGTCGTTGTTTAGTAATTCCTATATTTTGACTATGCGATATCTAACATTAACCCATTAAAATCTTCTGGACATCTATTGCTCTCATTCATTATATCACTTAACCCCACTTAATATGAGATTCATACCGGGCTTTAGTCCCAAGGAAAGTAGTTTAATGCTCTTCCTTATAATAAATGTATCGTGCAGTCGTATTTGATTCTTTTTCGTAAATTCTGTAATTGAGAATAATACATTGGATATTATGATGTTAGAATTCTTCACTAACTTTCCAATATTTCTATCGGGTTTTTTGGCCGATCCATCGTAATCGATTTTTTAATATTAAAATCGCCATTTAGAGCGAATCATCATATTATTAGATAAAAAAAAATAGTGCAAAGGCACATTGACAATATATAGCATAAAATGGCGGTTAGAAACTAGCCAACATTGAGTAATTCCTATTTAAAATCTAATAAGCGCCATCATTCGAGAAAAGGGCGATCTAAATTTTTACATTTATTTGATAGTCATTTATAATTCAAGGGGCCGGGAAAACTTTTTTTGGTCGCACAGTGCCTTTTTGTATTACTCTGCACCAAGTTAGTATCGAAAATATCACTAAGTAACTGAAAAAGGACAGTGTATGACAACCAAAAAAGAAGACGATAATGAAAGGTCTAAATTTTTAATTTTAATAAAATATAATGATGCACGAAAAAAATCAAGGTAATGTTTACTTTTTGTTTATTTTAAATTGATTATAATTTTAAAAACATTTACTCTAGCGTACTTCCCTTTTTTTAAAATAAATATTTAATAGGAAGAATGGTAGTTTCCATAGAAATTTTTTAAAATGGTTTTTGGAAATAATTAAATTTCGACAATTGGAGATTAAGCATAAGAACTTGATATACGATTTAAATATGTGTTATTACAATATTTTTGGATTAATATAATAAAAATGAAGGGTGTACCAATATAACTTTTTGGAGGCCTATCCGATATTACCGATATTAAATTGATATCGACCTACATTCGATATCATATCTGGTTTTGTATTCTGTAAACATACTAATCGTTTTAATTTTTAATACATACATCTACTCATCAGTATATATAACATCTATAATTTAATTATACCATATGAATCTAAAAGTAGGTAAAATATTTTTATTGATAAATCACTCATTCGTATAATATTATTCTATTTTTATAGTAGTGTTGTCAATTGACTAAATTTAGTCGACTAAAAGACGACTAACTAATAGTCATAGTCGAAAAATTCGACTAAAAACTTTAGCCACTAAATTAGTCGACTAAAGGCTAAAATTATTAATTTTTATTATATTTATTTTATTAAGGTTTTTGAAAACATAAAAATTCTGCCTATATTTCTATTAATAAAATAATTATTTTAAAAAATATATCAGATTTTTTGCCAGCCAGGCCCTAAAAGTAAAGAAATTAAAATAAATAAATAAGAAATAAAATTATAAGCAAATTCCCGTCGATTAATTTAGTCGTAAAGTTTTTAGTTTCCTGGAAAAACTCGACTAATTAACAACACTAATAATAAGTTAAAAATTAAGACGTTTTGTCGGATCGGGAAATTTTATAATATCAGCCGATAACCGATATTTTGAAAGAAATGAAATATCGGGCCGAATCGATAAGAAAATATCTCTACATCCCAAACAAAATATGTCTAAAAAAAATGGTATAAATGGATATTTTAACGACAATTTCGTTTTATTTGAATATAAAGATTAGAATTTTAGCATATCAAATGGCTAAGAAGTATCAGTTAGTGATGCCTAAATCTTGGGAATTAAATAAAACAGCAGGTGAAGACTGGTTTGGGGCATTTATCAAAAGAAATCCGATTTTGTCTCTAGAGGCACCAAAGTATTACTTTACATTTTTTATGTAAAAAATTTTTTATAAATTATTTTTTAAAGATATAGCGTATAACTCTGCCCTGCATTCACAGCTAGCATGAATTCGCGGCTTAGAATATAGGGCTATGCCGATCCGATCCGATATTTTTCGATATTAGTAAAAAATACCGATTCCGATTATATGATATTTATTTTGTATCTATCTTTGAACCGTAATAAACAATATTTTATTAAAACCAACTTTCACAAATAATTAGTGTATTTTTTTTTATTTTTATTATTCTCTATAAGGTATAATCTCATTTAAAATATTTGCAATGTTTATGGGTGAAGGTGTAGTTATTGTTAAACAGCCTTAATTGGCAGATTTTCGAAGATCTGGCAAATTATTATATTTTGTTTGAAAATAAATAAAAAAATCTCTCTGAAAAAACATATCTAGATATGGCCAAAAAAGAAAGATTTATTATATACAGACTCATATTCAAAAAAACCAAAAAGAATGAGATAAATATTCTCAATGAAAATGAATGAACTTGTTTTATTCAGTTCACTTTATCACAGGTCTCTAACATGTGAAAATGAGAAATTCGCCAAATTAAGAAGCATGATAAACTTGCAAATTTTCTTCAAAAATATTTCATAATTTACGTGATACGTGATATACAACGTTTTCGCCCTCTAGTTGTGGATACAACAGTAGGTTTTCCTCATAATCCATCTGACTGGACAAATTAAAATGCGGATAAAAATGAGGGACCCTTCTCCGCACGTACTTGTACGCGTAATAGTCCAAGGAATATTACTTAAACGTCTATGAGCTGATGAGGAATGGACAAAAATAAGCCCAGCCCACACCCATAAGATGCTTATATACATAATAAATTATAAAGGTAAAGGGGAACTTAACTTTAATCACACGGTACATAAGGCATAAGATGGGAAATTTGATAGCAAATAATAGATGAAAAGGAAAAAAGTTCGATATGAGAAGAGAGAAAAGGCAGCGAAAGTAAAATAAAGTTAGATAAAACAAAAGTAAAAATATCCTGTGTCAAGGAGGAGTTTATGGGAGATTCAAATAATTTGATTTGATCCTCAACAGCTTTTTTTATTGATTTCTTATCTTTATTCAACCTTAAAAACTGTTTCTTGTTAAGGTTTAAATCCATGATATCCTTTACTGCCCTATAGAACCATAACGTTTTATATTTCCCATAGGTTTTGCCGTTGAATTAGTATAACCAATTTATCGCCTCCAGGACCAGGCTATTATTTGTGTGATTCCTCAGAATATGTGCAAAAAAGGTAAGACGTTTCTTTTTCAAAGTCACATGCACTTGAGTGTGACGTGACCTCAGCCAAAGGTTAACATTAGAGATAATGTTGGGGTAAAAAATGCCATTTATTATTCTAAAACATTTGTTGACAAACGCCTGTAGTCTCCTGGTCTCTGTCTTCGTAATCTTCCATATATCACCGCCGTAAAGGAGAATTGGGATGATTACGTAGCCTAGAACCGATATCTCCCTGGATTTCCACAGTTTGGAATATTTATAAAAAGCAGCCCTTTTATGAATTCTGATTTTTAGTTCTTCATGGCAGCTACCCCTATTATCTATGTTTACCCCAAGATATTTATAGGAGGACACCACCCTAACCAACTTTCCTCCTACTATCCAATCAGCCAAAGGGGGCGCATGAGATGATGGCATAATTACCGTCTTATCGAAGTTAAATCCAGTCCAACCTTTAAGCTGTAGGAATTAAGTATCAAGACTAAATTATGGGCCTCCTCCAAGCTCTTGGAAATCATCACCAAGTCATCTGCATAACAAATCACCTTATTTTCCAAAAACCATGACTGATTAAATACAAGTTCCAGAAGATTTGCGGCTCTCAGCGAATCGGTAATTATTTTATTCATAACTAAATTGAACAACAGCGGGGAGACGACACACCCTTGCTTTACTCCTTTTTTTGTTCTTAAGGAGGGAGAAACTTTATTTGATTTTAAACGAGGCGAAGAGATTACTATAAGGTGTCTTAAGAATCTTAATGATATTCCCGTCAATGCCACATCCTTCTAGGGTTGCCCACAGAGTATCGTGAATAACGCTGTCAAAAGCGCGCTTAAAATCAACGAAGATAAAGTAAAATGGCAATTTATACTTCTCACACCTCTGTATTAATATCTTTAATGCCAATATAGGTTCATTGATATTTCTTTTTGGGCGGTAGGCACAGATGTACTTAGACAGAAGATTAGGCGTGGACGCAAGAATGCGGTTTTTTAGAAGAATCATGAAAACCTTGGACACGATAGATGTGAGAGCAATAGCTCTATAATCCTTAAATTTAACAGGATTCGGGGTTTTGGGTAAGTTATAAAAAATTGTCATATTCCAGTCTGCTGGCATCTTCCCCGTAAGCCAAATCCTATTGAACAACCCCAGCAAGAGCTGAGAGACCTCTGAGGGGGCAGCTTTCAGATGTTATCCGGACCTGGGGATTTATTGTTCCTAAGTTTATTAATGGCCTTAGTTATTTCCGGCACAAAAAAATTAGCGTCAGATGATACTGCGCTATGGCTAGAGGATGGAAATACGACTGGCCTCCTTGAATCAAAGATTTCCATGTAATGGTCCAACCATAGAGCCATTTGATCCGGGTCGGTAATCAATTTATTATTATCCAGTCTGATTGATGGGAGAGGCTTGATTACTCTTGCATTGCAGAAAAGTTTGAGCTTTTTATAGGCATCAAAAGTTCTGTTTTCCCTCATATCTCTGTCAATCTCGAAAGCTTTCTTTGCTATGTAGATCTTTCTGTCCCTCCTAAGGAGTCTATGGATTGTAGTCCAGAGGGCACCATCACGTCTATCAAGCGACCTGAGTTCAGCTATCAAGAGAACTGTGTCTTCAGATAACCATTCTTGCTTCGGGGGAGAACTATTGATGTTAGGAAGATCATTACAGGCTCCAAATAGAATACTCTTAAAGGACGACCAACATGTCTCCGTAGAAACAGACTCCGGTGTAGTTTCGTGTACTGTCATCCTGTCTCTTAAGTTTTGGCCTAAGAGCAGCTTTACTTCAGGTCGTTGTAAATTTTTAGCATTTCTCGTCCAGGGAGAATATCTGGGCTGATTAGAGGTGGGGAGGCGTTGAGAGTTACCCCATAAATTTTTTATGAGGATGTTTGCTTTGATTAACTTGTGATCTGAAATATTTATGTTCCTCATTGCTTTTACATCAGTAAACCAACCATGAATGTTGGAAATGAAAAAGTCAATTTGAGAAGTAATGTTGTTCCTCCTATAAGTTAAAGCATTACTTTCATTATGAAAGAAGAAAGTGTTCGATTTTAAGGGTAAAACTCCTGCACAACTCCAAAAGCTTCCTACTATCGTTGCGATTTGGTTGTGGAATGGTCGCATTTCCAATTACTCCATCATGTATGTAGGACTCCTCCTTCCCAATCCTGATATTCAAATCCCCCAAAATTATCCAATTGCGGCTCTTAGGAAGAGAGCATACAATGTTTTCAAGATGGTCTAAAAAGGAGAGCCTATCACCTATGTTAGGAGGAGCTTATAAGTTTATTAGGATCTTTCGTTAAAAATAGGTTTTTAAATACAGCAGGCAACACCTTTCCGAAATGGGGACAAATTTATCTACAAATTTATGTACTCTCTTACTAATTATGAAGGCAACTCCTGACCAACCATTTAAGGTAGTGCCCGAACTATACAGTATAAATTTATTAAAGTTGGTCATTGTTATCTTTAGAATGGGTTTCTTGTATCGCTATTACATCCATTTTCTCTTCGGCCATTAGCCTAAGAAGAACCGTTAGCTTGCTTTTTAAGCCATTTATATTAAGCGAAGATAAGAGTAAGTTTCCCTTTAAACCTATCGGATGCTATCAAAAAATTCAAAACAGATAATAGCAATTTATTTACAATTTGTTTTTACTCTGATATTTAAAAATGCTATATTTAGTATGTTTTAAAAGTCTAACAAGTTAAAAGAGAGGATGAGGTCGCCTAAAAACACATAAAAAGAGAAAAGTAAATAAAGCGAAATGAAAAGATAAAGAAAACCTTAATAAAAAATAAAATTTGAACTGCATAGAGAAAAATCAACCTCCATATCTCTGCGCACAATTGGGAGTTGCTATTATCTGTTTTGAATTTTTTGATAGCATCCGATAGGTTAAAAGGGAAACTTACTCTTATCTTCTCTTAATATAAATGGCTTAAAAAGCAAGTTAACGGTTCTTCTTACGCTAATGGCGGAAGAGAAAATGGATGTAATAGCGATACAAGAGACCCATTCTAAAATAACAATATGGTCAACTTTAATAAATTTATACTGTATAGTTCAGGCACTACCTTAAATGGTTGGTCAGGAGTTGCCTTTTTAATTAGTAAGAGAGTACATAAATTTGTAGATAATTTTAATATAAAGTATTATGTAATAAAATTTATGCAAAAGAGGTGAAATAATGAATTTTTTTGGTTAATTTGCGAAATTTCGCAATGTCTTATAGAAAAATTATATTTTTTTGTATAATTTATTGTTATATTTTAAAAATAAATTTAGAAAGATTAATATTATTTAAAAATTTATATTATCTTCATCTAAATTATTCATATAAATTTAATTATAATATCTTCTAGTTTTTCTAACCGTAAAAGACTATGAAAAATGATTTTATATTTTATTTTGCAATAAAATTTATAACGCAAGCTGGCGCTGATGCTTTTTTTTAAATTTTAAGGATTTTTATAAAAAAATCGATTTTTGTCCTGATAAAAATTCTTAGGGAAAAGAAAAGTATTACAAACGGCTCCAATCTTCTTTACCCCATAAGCGAAAAAAGTAAAATTTTTAAATAATTTTAGTTTAAACCCAATAGAAAGTTTAGGATTCTAGAACAATATTATAAAACCGTTGGAGGAAGTTTAAAATTGTTAGAGCCAATTCTCTTTACTCAACGAGGGAAAATATTTTGTGTAAGTTAATTTGGTTTTGGACCAGATGAAAAGTTTAATAAAACCTTTGGGTCTAGTTTAAAATAAATTGTGCCAATTATTTATTATCCATTAGGCTTATAATCAAAATACTGTTTAGATTGTATAAGACTCCGTTTGTCTAAAAAGTTAAATTTTATGGGATAAGGATAATCACCATCATTGATTCAAAATGTTTGATGTTTGTAATATTGTTCTATACTACTCGGAACTTTTAAACATGAAATGATTTACATTATAAGAAAAAGCTCGAGTACTATTAAATTTCATATTCCTGACCTGAAAATGAAATTCCAAAAAATTATTTGCCCTAAAAGTTATTTATTTTTCCCAAATACTGATTTATAGAACCGATCTATCAGCCTGGACCGGAGGCCCCTAAAATATAATTTTCCCTATTTTGCCTGATTGAATATTACAATTATTAAAGAAATTTTAAAAATAAAAAAATCAGGAGGTGGGAAATATTTACTGTTCGTTTTCATCATATTTTGTAAAAAAAAAAAATAACAACCTTAAATTATTAAAATTATTTCTGAATATTTGAATTTATTGCATAAGATTTAAATAGAGTAAGTAAATATTTAAAGGTGTTCTTCCCGTTAAACTTTTTTTTTAAAAGCCACAGACTGGGCTGCATATATCTAAAAAATATGCCACTGGGCCTCAGGCTGATTCAAGGTAATTTTTTAAAATTTTACATCTATCCCGAGCCCTAGAATTTGACCCAAGAACTTTTACTACGGCAAAGTGAGGGAGTATCATGTAAAATCGTCATTGAAATGGGGTGAAGAATTATGAAGAGGGTATCTTCATATGAATTGTAAAAGTGTATTGCTAATTTTTCTTTTTCATCAATTATAATTCTGTGAGAAGAGGGGGTGGAGGGTACGGGGTAGATTATCAGTAATTTAGAGAGATATATAAGTCTTGATTTGACCACCTAGCTGCTTAGAGAAAAACCTTTTTAAAGCAACACTCGATTCTTTCGGGAGGGACGTATTTGGAGGAAAACTAACCCCTCCAGCACATATAGACATTGCGCCCTAAGAATTCAAGAGAAAAAAAAGAAACTTAAAAGTAATAAAACCCTTATTTCTTTCAGTTTTTGCTAATATTAGCCATACATTTTGTTTTATAACTATTTTTGCTCATTACAACCCCCTCATTGACCTGGATCAGTGGCGTAGCTACGGGGGTAGTTTTCGGGTTTGGACCCCTCCCAGAGCAAAAATTTATTTTTAGATTATACGTTCAAAAGACTTAAAAGTGGTGACTTTATATCAAATAAATATCAATAATATTTATATTTTTCTGGCTTTGATTTGTGGAAGGATATTATATTACTATTGAAATTATTCTGGATAGTATTATTATAAAGTCATTGAGAATAATCTACTAAATTATAAAACAAATTATTGATGCACTTAAAAATATATTTATTATATATTTTCGAAGATATGGTTATGATTTGTAAGATAAACCCGGCCGAAGGCCGGACAAAAGGGCCGAAGGCCCGCTAAAGGGGGTCTGGGGGGCGAAGCTCCACTGGCTTTTATATGTATGGACCCCCTCTAAGCAAAATTCCTAGCTACGCCACTGACCTGGATACTTGTAAATAGTCATTCAAAATCCATCCATTTTCGCTTTTAAAAACTGCTTAGCCAAAAAATATTGCCTAGGCCTCGAGATTTCGCTAATATAAAACCTTTGTGATCTATAATCAAAAAATTCAGGCTTACGTAATGTGTTTATGTATAAAATATTGAGTTAGCCGTTTTTAAAAATTAGCTCAAATGGAGCGATTTTGCTTAACTACTTGCAATAATAATTATATATATAGATGTATAACAGCTAAGAATAATCCAGTTTATTCTCCCATATAATATTATTAAACAGTAAATAAAGTGAAAAATATTGTTGATACGAAAATTTCGCAATTCGCATTTATATTTAGATGAAATATCATTTAGATTAAATATCACTTAACCAAATTTTAAAATCATATTTTTCAAACTAGTTGAAAATCTGATTATTTACATTTTAAATTATGGAAGAAGATCTTAAAAATTTTTTAGATTATAAATTAATAACATACATTGGTAGTTCAAAGGTAAATAATTTGTCAAGCCTTTCTAAAAATAAGGATAAGCAAATCTCAGAAACTAATAAATTGTAAATAATATAATATAATTATTTTAAATATATATTTTAATCAAGAAATGATACCTTAAACGAATACCTTAGATATGAATTTTATTCACAAAAATTAAAGTCTTCTTATGGTAAGTGTTTTCAAGAAACATGCATTGCCCAATTCAAAGATTTTGATTTATTTCAAGATCATATATGCAAATGTATTTTTGGGATTTTTAATTCTGAAGTATAAATATTTTATAAACACATTAGACTTACTTGTGCTCTAGATATCCTTATCTAAAATAGCTAATATATTTTACCAATATTCCCTTTACAATAAAAGAATTCATGATGAAGGATTAGATAATTCTTCCTTAAATGATGAATCTAATGACCCAAACAATACAAAAATCATTCCTTTTAATTTATTAATTAAAAAATTAAATAAATGTTTAACAGCTGGCTTTTGTCATGATAGAAGCAATGTTGATAAATTATTGTTTGTAGTTATTCATAAAATAGATCCAAATATGGGATTTATGAAGTGGTATACAAAATATCGTGATTCATTGCCAAAAAGAAAATTTAGACAATCAAACAAAAATAGAAAGATTGAAAAATTGATACCTACCAAGTTATCAAAAAAATCATCAGGTAAATTTTTTTTTATAATAAAAAGAATATAACATAATATTACATTATATAATTTGTAATTAAATTCTCTCTTTTAACACATTAAAAAATTATAATAGTTGCACATGGCTCATATATATAAAATTTGTATTATTATACCATTAGAAGAGTTAATTTTCAACCCGAACCATTAGATTTTAAAATATATTTTCTATAAAGATCGTGATATATAATACTTCTGGAAATATTTACTTAATATTGAAAATTTACAAAGGACACTTCCTTTATTTTAAACATCTCTTGAAATAATTTAATTAGAGCAATTATTGATTTTATTATATAACTTGATGACGATGACGATGACTTTTTAATATAATATTGTAAGAACTTCACTTCTTTTTAATTGATTTGTGCAAAATTTGTGAATAAGGCAAGTATGAGTCTAATGAATAAAAAATATATTCTGCTTTGATTAATAAAATAAAAGTAAAAAATATAACTTCATCTATATCCAAAATGTTTTTTAGTAATGATTAAATTTTACTTAGATTTATTCTCACATAACTTTGCAAAAATATTGTATATTTTATAATAAATGAAGTGTAAAGTATCAAATTTTAGGCATAAGTGAAAAATCTTTAAAGTGTTATAATTTATAGACCAACCAGACACCTGCAGAGCTGGGCAAATGGTAGTATCATCAATAGAATATAGGTTCCAGTCATTGGCTCTATAAATATTAATGTTATAATTTCTTCCTATTCTTCCCTTTTGTTTGATTTTATATCACACAATTATAAAATGAATTTTTAAAACAGGATTGGGAAAATTTAGTATTAATTTTCTTATAATATTTTGTAATAAAAAAGAATAAACATTTAAATTTGAATAATATTTTATTTTTTTTTACCCAACAATGTTTTATATTGATTTTCAAATAAAAAAATTCCATTGGGAAAATCAGGATATGAAGACAAAGTAATGGCAGAGATCGAAAAAAAACTCCCATTCACAGATCAGGATATGCCAGATTTTATGGGTTCCACCATCACTCCCGATAGCTCGAATGATGGCACCACAGTTGACAATACTATTCAGAAGGAAGTTTCTGGTATTCTTACCCAAATAACACCAGACGAATCAAAATTATTCAATGTTGGTGAGTCTGTCACTGATAAAAGTGGAATTTTTTTCCCATCTAACCACAAATTAGACACATATCCTGTTAATCACTTCAATGGCTCAACCATCAAAGCAGAGCATGAACATTTGCTTAATATCAATTCATGGAATTCGAAAGAGGTGAATTAAAAATTAATTTTAGAAATTTAGGCAAATGTAATTGTAATTAGTGATATGCGTCTGGCCTAATTTAAGCCTGGCCTGGCTCGAAATTTTTTTTTAAAAAAAAGTATGTGCTGCCCAGCTCGATCTTGAACAAAAATTTTTTTGCTTTTTATTATTATCCGTCTATTTAAAGTTTTAAATAAGTTCTAAAAGAGGATTCGCCTTTGAAAATTATATTATCGTATACGTTCATATTTCTAATTTTTTAGGATATAAGTAAGTTATATTTTACATTTTATATAATATTACAAAACGAATAATAAAAAAAAGTAATGAAAAAACTAACCTATTTGCTTTTTTTTAAAATGGTGGTAATCCTACCACTTTGCACGAGGCCATTTAAAATGCATTATTTGCACTTGCAACGCAGCGTTAACGCTCAATTTGTGCGACTATTTGACCCAAACCATAAATATTTTTTAAAGAGCTGGGTACAGGCCAGTCAATGATGGACCTAGAAAAATAATTCCCCAGAAAAAAATTCCCGTTTTTTGAGATATTAAAAATTACAAAATTAATAAAATAAGAGAAAAAATTTTCTAGAAATATATCCACGGAATAAAAATCCTCATATTAATTATTTAAAAATTTTGAGATAATCAATTCCGTGGAATTATTTTCTAAGAATTATTGGTATTTTTTTTCGGGGAATTATTTTCCGCTAAGATAATCGAAAAACGTTTTTTTGAAGAGCATAATTTTATAGGGTATTTGTTGAGATAATTATCTGAATTAGATGTTTTTATAAATCTATTGGAATCCATTTTTAAATTTGAACTACGTGGGCCGAGGAAAATTTGGCAAAATTTTTTTTTTGTATATATATTTTTGATAAATTCTGATATTTCATGGAATCCATAAATTTATTTTGGTGTTGAATAACATATTTTGGTTTAGGTCATGTATTTAAAAAAATTGGAACTGAGCCTAGCCAGGCAAAAACTAAATTCCCACCGGACTGGGCCTGAAAATTTTGCCATTTGCAGACTACTGCTGACTGTATCCTATGTGTTTCTATTCTTTTATTGTAATCACTAAAAATTTATATTTTTATATTTGACTGGAAATCTTGTAATTTATTTATATTTATGCACACATATGATATTTTTTTTTAAATTTTGAATTTTGAGAAAAAAAATATTATTAAAATAACAGTCAAAATCATTACTTTTATTTTACGTTTAAGAACAAATCGAATGTATTAAAGGTTCGAGAAGGCGAAAAAGTTCATGAGAATGATAGGACAGAGAATATTTGCAAAGTTTCCAAGAGGCTTAGGACAGAAAAACGGATGACAAACGATGTCGATTTTCTAAACGAGAAAGGGATCGACGAAGGAAAAGCAAGCTCGACCATTGTCAAGAGAAAATACGTTAGAAAATTAGTCAAAACACCATTGAACAATAAAGCCAATACTGGTTTTTTTAAAATATATATTTAAAATCATAATTTCTTATTGAAAATAATAACCTATGTATTTTCATTTATGTAAAATATGTCTGCTCAACATTTGTTCCTTTGTCGGGGGAGTCATTTAAGAAAAACTCTAAATCTGTTTCAAACGGGTTTATAGTTGTTCTTTCCACTATATCGATGACATCACAAGCTATCAAGATTAGAGACCTGACTCGGCTTGCCCAGTCAAATTAAGCACTTTTGTTGTTAGTTCGTTTTATTCCGTTATCCCATTTTGCACGGTTGACTAGGGACTTGCTTTTTTTGCGAAACTAATATGCGAGTCTGAATCTCCCGAATTTTCATATTTATTTTAGCATAATTTTAATTGGACCTTCGTTTTTCTATAAATTCATTTTCCTTTATATTACATATACGTTTTTTTTCATTTCTTATCTCTTTGTTCTATTTTTTTTCTTCTTTATTTCTGTTTAAAATTTTTATATTCTCATTTTACTTCTAAAAAAGTAGTCCATGTCGTCGTTCCCCTAAAAAAATACGCATTTTCGGATAAAGTGAAGGAATTGATTCAGGTAAATTTATATAATGAAAATATTTATTACATATGATCTTTAAAACTAGATATAAAACGTAATATAAGTTATTAAAAGAAGGAAAAATAAATAAATAAAGAAACAGAGTTTGAAAAATTCAAAAATAAAGAAATTTTTTATTACATCTGTAAAGATTTTGGCATTTTTTAATGTATTTTTGAAGATTTTTTGATTTTATCTAGAAAGTCATGCATGAAAATTGCGAAAGATTTACTTAGTAAAATTTTTTTAAAAAAGATAGTGACTTTCTTAACTCCTTTCTGGTTAACTTTAAAAAATTGGTGTGGGTTAACCTCTCCCTTGAAGACACTCCAATCCTCAAATACTTGAGACAAAACTCAGGCCATGATAGCTTGAAGCTGTCCCTAGTGCCAATCTCAGTTTCCTATTAGGAGCTAAGGGTGATCATAAGATATAGACTATGCTCTGACATATGTCTACTCAATATATGCAAAGGGTGCGGAATAGACTCCTATCCTAAGGGCCTACATGGTCTAAACTGTTTATATTCGAAAGGCCGGTTCAGTCGACATAGAGTTAACTCTAATCTCGAATAAATTCGGGTTGGCTAACTACACGAACCTTCTGGAACCCATTAACTTATCCCTGTCTGATTGGAAAGATAAACACAAACATTCCTTTGTTTGTAAGAATACACCTTATTTGGGATTTTATTTTTAACACCCAATTTTCTTCTAACACAAACATTGATCCGATTATTACAGTTGAAAGTATCATCAATTTTCTGATTTTCACTTTATCCCATAGTTATTTCTACCTATGGGTCCCTACTAGGTTATCTTCTTTTTTTTAAAATTGTGGGTAAAAAAAAATTATTCAAATTAATGATGATCATGTATCCTCTTGTAAAAATGTCACAATCAACTCAAGTCGCTTTATTTCAAGGCAAATATTTTAGTTTCCTCGGATCTCAATAAGAGTCCTTTTTTGTCCAATGCCACACATTTTTTTTAAAAAAAGACTTATTTTTGTCTTTTTAAAAATTGTTTGCTTAATTTATTTATTCATTTTTTAAATGTCATTTTAATTTTTTTAAAAATGTTATTTTAATATAGATTTATATGTCATGCGATTTTTTAAATATAAATAAAGGGAATTAATTGAAGGAAAAGGAATTAAAGGTTCTTTTTTTTAAAAAAGAAAGTTTGTCATTCCCCTTTCCTGTAAAAAATTAGACATCCAACCACGTCCTCATTCCCATGAGAACAAGTTAAGACAGAATGCCGTATTTTCGGTAGAGTAATCGAACTGATATTTTATATCGAGATATATTTAAACCTTTTTCCTTAAAAAAATGCTTTATTAGATTTTTTAACTTTTAGAATAAAATATTTTTTAAAGTACAAAATAGAATGCCTGAAAGAGTACGATTGCTTGAAGTGCTACAAAAACATAGAACCTGGCGATGCCAATCAATTATTAGAACATTTGGAAACCTGTCTACAGTCGCATCAAGTTATTCCTTTTTTTTAAAAAAGAATAGATTTTCTTAAGTTAGAAATTTATTCGCATACGAAACAAAATCTAATTAAAATTTTTACCTTCAAATTAAAATTTATATATTTCTCATAAAAAAATATAAATTCATTAGATAGAAATCTTGTGCAATCTGTGCCAATTGAAGTTTTCAAATATCGACGAAAAGATTGACCACCTGATCTCTCTTCATAATGGCCTGGTAAATATCATAAATTTCATATTATAATATTAGAAAGCAAAAAAGGTAGAAAGGAAAATAAATGTAAACACAATTTAAAGACTAGATAAAAGGGCCGGAGAGGGGAAGGGAAAAGTAAATTTTTAAATGTAATGGTTGACCATTTAACTTTTGAGAATAAAAAATTTATATTTTCAAAACTGTGTTTTTTTAAAATTATAACAAAACAACAAGGTAATATTTAATTTTTTTTAAAGAAGTTATATTTATTTCCGGTATAATCTTATAAATTTGGGCTTCATGTCACAGACCATGACCAGATTTCTCCGTAATCTTTGCTCATTCTATTCTGATACCAATTAAGATCGACCTTTCATCTTAACTTTGTTTCGCCCATTTTTATTTTGTTCAAAATTTATGCTACACACACACTATCATAAATCCCGAAAATATAAAAAGAAATTATATTATTTTTTTTACAAAAAAAAGGAATATACGATCGACAACTCCTTAATCAAAAAATACTGGCGTTTCCTGAACAAATTCTTGGGACCGTACAAAAAATTTAACTGTCTGTCAGCTGATTGTGGTAAAAATTATACGAGTTACCCTGGCCTGGCTTACCATATCAAAAATTGTTCCTTTTTGAATTACGCTTCCAACAACACGCCGAAACAAATTAGTTAGTTAGCTTACATCTATTTTTCATATTTTATAAATTTATATCCCTTTTTCTTAAATTTTGAAGCTTTTCGAATTTTTTAAAAATGGGTTTGGACACAGTTTCAAAAAAACAAAACCTAAAATTGTGTTAAATATTTTTTTCTATTTTATTAGAATTTTACAACATTCATTTCAATTCGAATAGGCCAACTAGCGCTTAGTATTTTATATAAAAAACTTATTAAAAATTATTGGGTTGAGATTTCCCCTCTTACCATCTTTAACTATGTAGATTATCGGCATCTGTATTGGTGTTGGTGCATTTGTGTTTTAAATTATACAATTCATTTAAAATAAATATATACAATTTTAAAAACCGGTATTAACCGGGTTAAACCATTTGGAATTCGGTTCACACCTTTCAAATATAATGGTTACAGGTTGTAAAATTATAATGGCTTATTTTGCGACTTGGTTCAAAACAGCGTTATTATCAGAATTTTGTCATTAAAGTAGTAAATTACTGATTCCCTATCTTTTTCAGCATATTTTATTAGTTTAATTGATGAACGGCGTTTACCTTGATAATTCATTATTCAAGCGCTCTATAGAACTCGTTTGTATATAAAAAAATATATAAATTTAATTTGGCATATACAAATAAACATTGCAAAATATTTATTAGCGTGTTTCCCTCTCCTAGGGCGACACCAGAAATCAACTGAATTGAGCCGGAAGTCGTGAGATAATATCTTCATAAAATCTATTTACTTCTTAGTTTAAGAAAGGGATTGCAAATTTTTGCATGAAACTCTACTTATTATATTATATATTTTTTTAGTCGAAATAAGTGATGATTTGGAAGAGAGCGGTGTCAGGAAAAGCAAAATAAAGGCTAAAAGGTTTAATTTTTTTAAAATTGTAATCATTTTTATTTTTTTTTATTACTGGACCCCCCATTTTGAGATTAAAGGTGCCATGTAATTTCAAATGAGCAAAACGTCACGGTTCAAGTTGGCTGACACCGGTTTTTAAAGATCAAAGTCAGCCATAAACCACAGTGTAGCGACCATACTACGGACCACAATAAATACCAATTGGGGTTGGTCTGGTCCGCCTTTTATTTTTACTATTAAAGCCTATAAAAAAAACAAAATATCACTATTATAAAATTGAAAATTTTTAATTTTATTTACCAAAAATAGTAATAGTAAAACAATTAAATTTTTATAGACCAACAGATCAGCTTCATTAAGGCCCATTAAAATGAGATTGAAATTTTCTTCATTGAATATCATTTTTAAGCCATGACCCACATGATATATGTAATCTTCCTTGATAATTTATATCTTTTCTTCTATAAACACCTACTTTGGAAAATAATTGTTCACAGTCAACTGAATTTGATTGAATCGAATAATTTTTTTTAGCTAATAAAGTTAGACAGGCAAGGTCAAATACACAGCCCTGGTTTTTTTAAACACTCGATATATGAAGTTACTTCTATGGTAGCTATTACATGTTTTTTCATATAAGACTGACCAGGGTTCAGGCCCGAATTTTTTTAAATACATTTAATTTTTATAGCTTACAATAGCGATTTAAAATACTTGGTTTCCGGTTATTTTTTAAAAAAAATATATTTAGTGCTGGTCGGATATTTAAACAAAAAAATTTTTTTAAGATTAGTTTGGGTATAATAAAAAAAATTAAAATACGGCCCGGCTTATGTACACCAACTTACGGCAGGGCCGGGCCTGCCTGTCTTTGATATATGATATAATATTTTATTCTTCTTCATTTTGTAAAATTTGATTGTAATTGCTGCATTAAAAGAAACTATTTTGACTTGAATTCTTATTCATTGTGGTAAAAATATTGGAGTTGATTAACGAAAATAAGTAAGAAGTAATCTACAATTGAAGATTAAAACATTAGCGACAATTTTTTTTGAAGCTAGTCAATTAATATTAATTATATTCTTTACATTTCAAATTGATAATTATGTTAAAATAGCATTCCTTATAAATTTTAAGTGTCAAATGATATAATTTTGGAATAAATTTGATTTATTGATCAATTTATATGTTTAAGAACCTAAGATGAAATTTTAAAGAATGTAATATTTTTTTTAACCGAATGATTTGTCAGAATTATATATTTTTTACTATTTCCTTAAATAAAATGCAGAAATTAAATTAAATGAAAAAATATTGTAAATTTATGCTATTCATCATATTTCATAATGCGTACAGTGAATCATTCCTAGCTTATTTTCATGAAATTGGATGGGTTTATGATTATAAGTCTCAAAAATATCTTTCTACAAATATAATAGAAGTAGGATGAAAAATATTTTTGAGACTCGTCCCCCACTTTAATTTGAAAATAGGCATCTGTGAGGTCCAATATAGAAAATTCCGCCAGGTATGAAATAGGCAGACTTAGGAGTCCTAAATTAGGGGTTTAAATATTTACCCGTTCACTTATTTATTTCAAAATTTTATTTAGTCCACCCGCCCAAATTTTAAGGATTATTTTATTTAATATATTTTTTTGTTAATAATTTTTAAAAGATTAAAGCCCAGAAAAAAAACATCAAATTTATCTGCCTCCATTTTAATTTTTTTATCCCGCCCTTTTTATAATCAAAATATTTTTACCCACAGCCCACTTTTCTCATCGTAGATGGAGACCTAGACTATGTTTAAAAATAATTACCTTCCCATAATGACGTTGATGCATCACATTGAGGGGTGATAATTTGTGAGTGAGCGATATGTTTGCGTAAAATAGGGTGTCAAAAGTGTGAATTTTATTAATTATAAATTAATCTTCTATCTCCTTTTTTTCTTCATTAAGATTTTTGACCTCTTTACTCAGCAAGGACGACAATTTCTATCACGTGGATTATGATAATAATGATAAAGCGTTTAAAAAAGAAGACTCCGATTTCGAAATTGAACCGTTCGACTCCCTAGCTGACGCTGGAAATGAAAGTTCCGAAGATCTCAGCGGATCGGAAGTATCCGTCGACTCCATATTGCTCGATAGAATAGCCGTTTATTTTATATTTTTATATATAATATTTTTTTTGAAAAAAAGCTTATTCTTATCTTATTTGGAGGATTGAAAAGTATTCCTCGATTATTCTTATTTGATTTTGGCAGATTAGCGATAATAAATAGGATTTAAATTAGACCCGAATTTATATCAAAAGACCGATTAAATATAATTCACCGGATTGAAAACCGGTTTATACTCATCGCCTTTACTTTTTTTTAGACTTTTAGGTGAAAGATTGTCTCAAAAGATTTCACATTAATTTGCGTTTCGCAAATATATTTAGGGCTGTGCCGATATTCACCTTTTTAAACGAACGTGGATCTGGCCAATATTTTCAAAAAAAGCCGATCTATTATTATAATCGTTTCTCTTTTGTGTATATAATTATATGATAATTTTATTTTATACATTACCTAATAATAAATGTATGAAAAAGGAATTTATTTGAAATGATTTTGACAAATGTGTAGCGTGAAAATGTCATTATTATTTTTTACGTTACTATAACAAAAAAATTTAACGAGTGATATTCAGTCCTAAATTATACCAAACTCTAGTTTACAGTTGTTATTTTTTATAGGAAGAAACTATCTCGTCTCTAAAGAAAGAAAGAAAGAAAGAAATTCTCTTCAGGAAGAAATTTTTTAAGATATTGATACAAAAGAGGAAAGATCAATTTTATATCGGATCGGTTTTGTATGAATAACTGATTGGATCAGGGAAAAATTTATGATTGGCATAGCTCTAAATATGTTTCTAAGAGCTCTTGAAATTCTACCATTTTTAATGTATTGTTGGAGGAGGAAAAAGAAGAAAAAAAATAATTAAGCCCAATAAAATTTTGTAATATATTTGAAAAAGTATAATAATAACATTTTTAGATAATAAAAAATAATTTGATATTGAAAGTTCCAGATAAACGTGTCAAAATAAAATAACCACGTGAGTATTATTATTAAGATGGCGGCTCGTATATTAGTGTTACCCTATAACTTCAGGCTTTTTAATACCTTATATACATATACATACGGGATCATTTAAATGTACCGCTATACATCCTTATTTTCACCTCGCTAACCTTGTCAGCCAATTCCTTTGAGGCCATTTATCAATTTTACATATTTAAAAAAAATTGGTGTTAATTTCTTGTGGAATACAGATCGAAAAAAAGCCAAAACGGGTACACCTCCCGAAGGAAATATCCGATGATACCAAATTTTCTCAATCATGCGATTACGAGGCTAGTCTTCCTCCCTGGGTGCCCGATATCTCCAAATGGTATCCTTTCAAAAAGTAAAATTCTTTATGCAACTATTTAGCTTATTATTAGTGATGTTTCGGTTACAATTTTTTTTTCACCAGTGCCAGATCCTAATTATTTTTTTTTAAAAAAAAATGATTTCAGTCAATATTTATTAGCTCTTATTCGTGCTTAGATGAGGGGAAGAGGGTCTTGGGGTTTCTGAATTTTCAATATAACCGAAAATTTGACTTAGGGAGTGGGATAAAAAAAATATTTAGCCAATGAATGTCTCGAATATCCCTTTCTATTTCCCGAGATACTCCGTATAACTAGTGTTTTTTTTAGCTAGAGGGCGGTTCGGAATCGCTAATACGGTAAACTCCTAATCATACTGTTATTAATCTCCTTTTTACCTTTTCCAATATCGTCTAGCAAATCCTACCCCAAACTTCAGATAAATTGTTGCGAACTCCTATTTCTAGTACTATTTTATCTATAAGTTAAGTTTTTCTTTCCCACGCAGCTGTTCTTCTCATGAATTTTTGTCTATTTGAATTGATATAATATAAATACGCAAAAATTTATTTAAAATAGGTTCCCAAAAATTTTTAAAGGAGGGTCATGAAAAGATGGTTGCATCACTGTTCGTGTTCCCGATCTGACACATTTTGTAAAAGAAAAATTTTGGTCCCTAGATAATGTCTCGGTTTCCACACTCTTTTTTGGAATAATTCGACTCCCGGTCTTAGCGAAGGTTTAACTCTGATATTATCTATATTGGACCTATCTGTAATTGTCCTTTTACCATGGTCTGGTTCAATTTTTAGGGTTCGGCTTGGACCGGTTCACTAGTTGGAACAAGCAAGATACAGCATTTTGAGCCAATTAATATCATTATTTCTAAAAAAAATACAGCTGTTGATATTTACAAACTTAGAGAAAAAAAGAATTATTATGGTTTTATCAAACTAAGCACAATTAACACCCTTTTTAGCTGTGAATTGAATAGGATTAATATATATTTTCGTGATAAAGGCATAACTAGTTAATTTCGCGGGCCTAACTCTTAAATATTTATTTCACATTTAATATCTATTAGCGTGGAGATATTGGACCGATTATACTCCGCTACATCTTTACCTTTCCACGTTGTCGGTATGACGCAAGACGGAAAACAAGATGCCTACGAACTTCTCGAAGATACAATAACTTTGCCCTTAGTATATAAAATTTAAAAACTATATATAATTGTTTTTTTTAAAAAAAATATTGATTATTACTTATTTTATTTTCATAACTGAAAATCAATTTTTTCACTTTATTCCTGAAAAAAATAATTTTGTTTTGTTTTGAACTTAAAATAAATGATATAAATTTTACAATATTTATATTGAATCCTGGAAAATGGTTATAACATGATCCGTACTAATTTCCTCTTAAGCAACAATATCTTATTTTGCTCTTCCCGGAGAGCAAACAGTAACACTTATAAGAATGGCCCCTTAAAATCTTTGAATGACAAATTCTTTCTTCCCTTTAATTAGCTTTTAACTCATGTTTCTAAAGATACCATAATATTATTTTTGATTTAAATATGGCAAAGAGCATATTTTTTTTTTTGGGGGGGGGGGGGGTTACTTATACCATAAATATTTTAGAAGTAATCATGGCCAAAATATGCAATTTTTTTTAAAAAAAATGGCCACCCTGCAAGTGATAATCTCCACTTACTAGGCTGGAAATATCCAAGTCATCCTAAATTATTAATTTAAATGTTTAAATTATTTTTATTATACCTGTATATTTTTTTTTAACTAATATTTTCTCAATATGCATAATTCATTGTTTAAGCCCTCTGAAGATATACTAAATGGTTTTAAACCTCGTAACGATGTACCATCATTAGAAGAATTCCGTATAAATACTACCCGGTTAAAATTTGCTCAAATCTATAATGATCCGAGTATATTTGAAAAAATAATAAAATTGTATTTATAGTTTTTAGTTAGTTTTTACATTCTATAAGGAAATGATAAAGATGTAGTAAAAAAAACACTAAAGGAAAAGTAAGGCGTTCTTATTAGATAGAAAATTCTTTATATTGCATTTTTTCCCCTAGAATCTAAATATTTTATTTAATCAATAAATTCAAATATTTTGAATCAAATAAGAATTTATGTATTCATAAAATAGGAATCGAATAACTAATAACTTGAGTTTATAGTTTTCTATGTGTTCGTTTAAAAAAGAAGGTATTGGAACATATTTCTTAGCATCTTAAAGAGTGGAGGACCAGATTTTAAACCAAACAACTTAATAATACTACACAAAAATTTATTATTAATTTTTAAAGCCGACAATTCCTGGACCCTATTTTCACACGGCAACGTTACCGCCATTGATTGGGCCCCTTACACTTCCATTTTGTTAAATAAGCCTGAACGCGGTTTCAAAACCACGAAATACTATTTTGCTGTCACCTCGACTCACACCTTCGGCGGGGATCATGGCATAGATCATCATAAGGATAAAGATACGTTCGAGGTATCTAAAAGCGTAATATTCAACAAAAAGGACCACACCTCCAAATATTCCCATAACGACGCCATCTTCTTAAATCACGAAGTTGATGGGCCTGTCCAAAATAATGATAAAAATGGCACAGCCATTACTCCGTACAATTCCGTTCAAATTTGGGGTCTTGAAATAGTAGAATCAATCCCTCATTCCGACGAGGTGAATATATCTTTGTTATATGCATAGAAAATGAAATTGATTAATTTAGCCTTTTACATCATATAAATATCATTTCAAACGTGTAAACGATGATGTTATGTGCACCAACTTTTATGGGGGGTATTGATAATATGTAGAGATGACTTAATATAATGTAGTAATATTTTGTTGTAATTTTTTTTCATTAATACTCAATATTCATTTTAAGCCCGACCTCCAGAAATTTTTCTATCGGATATTTCAAACTGGCACATTTGAAAATTTTATCGGGTTATTTGACCCAGACCATAATTATTTTTTTTTATGAAGGAAAAAGAGAAATTTATTTTACCTAATTATCATCTTTAAGCACATTTTCAAAACTTTAGCTGGGGTCGTAAAAAAACTTTTGGCCCGATTTGTCGTCATTCAATCCTATAATCTTTTTGCCTAACCCCCTCAAATTTCTAGTTAAATTATGTTAAACGGCTCAATTTGAGCCGATTTTTAATAACGGCTAACTCATTATTTTAGAAAAATGTAGCGTGAGCCTAAGGATTTTGCTCATAGATGGCACAGTGGTTTGGAGGGACATCCATTAGCCGAATCTCGAGGTTTAAGCAATATTCTGGCAAAAATATTGAGTTAGACAGACGTTTAATGCTACTCTAGTCTATTTATGTATAGATAGTTAAATATAAATTATTCCATTTGCTATATAAATAATAAATACGAAATATTAGTAATTGATTGTTTTATAAAAAAAATAGTTAATATAACAAACATTAAGTTTCTATAGGTAGTATTCACATACTGCCCATAACCAGTAAGAGAATTGAAATACACACAACAATTTTATAAATATATTTTACTTATTTTAAATCATACTGGTTCGGAATGATAAAAAAATTGCGAGATAGTTTTTTTAAATATATAATATAATAATTATTGTACCTAAAGAATTCGAGTAAGACTAGTCTTTCTACTGTCACTTGCAAATTCGAATACGGGCTGTTGAACCAATGGGGAATCTTGGACTGTAAATGGTGCCCGAGTTGGGAAAACTCTGATTCACCCAACATTCGCAATTCATTTTTAGGACTCTTGGCGCTCACCTGCAAGGAGAACGGGAATGTTAAGATTATACCGTATACTCTAAAACACCTTTATTGTATTTTTTAGTTTAGTTTATTATTGTTTATTTTTTGGATATAATTTATCCATTCATTCGTTAGTTCTAGTGGCTTTGCACGGGGAAAAAAATATATTTGTGTTTTGCTAGTATAATATTTAGTCTTTAAAATAAGATGCCATAACAATTAAGGACAAGTTTATTTATGGTCCATTCAATGATATAAACTAACTACGTGGAAGTCGGCAATAGGTGTCATTTTATAGTCTACATGTTTTTTTAAAAAAAAAGGAATTTATTGTACATTAGAAATTAAAAAAATATATTAAACGATAAATATCACCTAGTCAAAGAGCATATATCGTATGGCGTCTACAGCTGACTCTTGTGTATTAAATAATGTGAACATTGGTTCCTCCCCCCCCCATTAGTAACAACAATTTTTTTTATATTATATTATTTTCTAAGAGATTGAAAGGTTTTTTGGGCCGATTAGTTAAAACGGGCTTTAGACCACAGTACTTAAATGATTATGAACTTAATTATATTTTACTTTAAAGCAGATTGTTAAGAAAAAACAGCGAAACTCTAAAAATAGGATTTCAGCTTTTTATTATGAATATTATTTAAAAAAATTAAAAAAGCTTTCCCTTTCCAGAACAATTGCTCAAGTCTGACTCTAGTCCGAACCGCCCCTGGTTCGTAACGCTGGATTTTTACGTCCTCTCCTTGTTTCCGCCTATAACTCCCGATAATCTTGACACCTTGTCCGTGAACCCAAGCACGTTCCTCAAATCAAATTGGAATTTAGACCACCGCCAACAAAGTTCAACAACGAGCATAAGGAAATCTAAAGAAAAAAACGAAGATTTGGAATACGAGAGTGAGGCAGCTATGAACCGATTTTTCCCCCGCACTCTTTATACGTATCCAATTTGCCTGGATTGGTATTTGAGTTCCACCAATTGCTCTCTTGCTGTCGGCTTTTTCGATGGTACTTTTTTTTATATTGGAAATTTTAGGTTTTTATATTATAAAATTTGATAAGGCCTGTTTAAGAAAGAAATTTATGCTAAAAATTTTAATTCGATTATCTAGGCACTATCGCCATTTGGAACATAACGGCATCGAGTAAGCCGGAGTCTATTCAAAACTACGCTATAAACCTTGACGTTCTGCTCCCTAACTCTAACCAAACCCAATTAAATGACAAGTCAAAGATCACCAAAAATGATAACCATCAAGATTGCGACGAAGAAATCCTCATTAATAGTTGCAAGCATCTCGAAAAAATTTGTTCCGACAGTATTAGAACCACCAAAAACTTACTAAGTATCGTTAAAACCGAAATAACCACCCAATGCATTGTTCCCTCCCGAGTCATACCTCCAGGTGCTATTCATTTTGATAGCGTCACGGGCGTTAGCTTTTGCTGGTTGAGTTGCCGAAACGATGATCGATACCATTTAAAACCAAGATATCTGGCCTCGGTTGGGCGGGATCGGGTCTTAGCTATTTGGGACCTAGGCAAGACTAGCAGCGATGGTTATAACCTCGTTCATTTCAGCAGTTATTTTAACCTGGCGATGACCAGCCTAGACAGTTTTTATTTATACATTAATACAACTTGAGAAATATTGTTAACTGCAAACATTAAAAATAATTTTTTATATTTTGACCCTTTTATTTATTCATAAATCTTGATAACCTTTTTTTCAGGTCATCAGATTTAGCTTCCAAATTTGATTCATAAGTTTATAATATTTTATAAACCTATAATAACTATAATAGTGTTACCTAATTGATCATTTGCATTTGGTTATACAAAACGCAAAAAAAATGCATTTCATATGGTGTCATGCAAATTATCACGATTTTTAAAAATTAATAAAAATGCAAGTGCTTTCTATCGAAAATTCTTTATTAGTCCCCACTATAATATAAGCTTCAATAACATTAATTTACAAGGTTTTTTTAAAAAGCAATATCCACACATATGAAAAAAATGATATCTATATCTAGATATATTTTTTAAAACATCTATATTTTTAAAACAAATACGTTTTTAGACGATGTATCTGCTGTATATAGATCCATTGGAAAAGTATCTTTTAACAACTCTGCTTATAATGTTTGCTCAAATTTCTAGAAGTTTTTATCGGCAAAATGATGTTTTTTTTTAAATTTTATATATTTTTAACCGATAATATCATTTGAATTGAAACGGGAAACCCCATTAAACTAGCGCCTTACTAATTGTCCAAACCTTTGTGCCATCTATGAGCAACAGGCATATGTAATATTTTTCTGAATAAAATATTGAGCTGGCCATTTTAAAAGAGCAATTTAACATACTGATTGTTCCTTTTTTTTAAAATTATTTTAAAAATTATAACCAAATAGGATGGATGGCAGTCTTAATCAGATTTAAAATTCTGGGTATAAAAAATAACTCGAATAATTTAAGGATCAGTTCTCTACGACAACCAAATTTAAAAAATATACACCCCCCTTCCCTCTCTAACTCTCACTTAATGTCATTGGTTATCTGATAAGTGAAGCTATAACACTTTGGTGTGAAAATTATATACAATAAAAAATAACCTACCTAGTACAACGCTATTTAATAACTCACTCAATTTACCAACACAACTCTAAAACTAAAAGTAATAAATAACTCCAAATTTTATTCGCCAACTAAATATATAATTACAAAAAAAAATCATAATAATTATAAAATTTAGTCTCTTTTATACTTTTTTGGGACAAAGAGATCACGAGTTCTACACGTGATATATAAAATCAGGCGACTATTTATAAATTTGATAAATATTAAACAAAATAATTTTTATTTTAAATATGCGCATTAATTTTTGTTTTATAAAGGTGATTCCTCCTCATACAATTCTCATTGCACGGGTTGCATATGGCCGCATCCCAAATTCGCCTCCTTATTCGACAATTCTAATAGTGACACCCTCAATTTTTTGGCCATAAGTGATACCAATGCCCAGTAATTATTGTTTTTTTTAATAATTATTATAAATATCATTTGTTTAACATGATGTCCGACATTATACGGTTTAAATCACAGCTCGAATGATCATTCCATTCCTTTTTCCAAACTTTTTGAGAATCATTATATCATTACTCTCAAAGTTCTGCAAGCTGGGCTTAAAAAATCTGGTCGGGCAGGTTTAAATTGATAACATTCGGGGTTTGAGATTATATAATTAACATATTTATTTGCTAATTGATCTTAAATTTTCATAATAGAGATTATCCTTCTATCTAAAACTTTTCTGAAACCGTGAGATAGAAAAAAAAAATATCTTACCCTTATAAAAAAAAAATAAAGAAATATTAGTTGATAATATCGAATTGATAAATTATCACCATGAAAAAAAATTTTGTAAGAATAAAAATATTATTTTGGAGCATGCTCGAGATTTCTAGGCTTGTTATTCAAATTTTTAAGAACTCGTTTGGAACTTGGAAAGAGTTTTAAAGATTTTCTGGATTCTGACTCTGAGCGCTATATTCGTAGCTATGAATTGTCTATACTATATTATTTATTTATTCGATTTCTATGTGTAAATTCCAAAAAAATTATCTTGATTTTCAAATACTCTAGTAAGGGAATACAGAGATTCACCTTCCAGCGAACATTTTCGAGATATGTTGTCTTGTCTTTGATTATAAAGTTTATAATATTAAGTGTTAATTTTGATTTACCATTAGATCATTGCTAAATATTATTTTATTTTTTTATCGCACAAAATATTTATAAAAAAATTATATATGATCGATATTTGCCCCCTTTTTCTTTTTGGTTGAAAGGTTTAAAACTAGTTGTCATGTATTGGATAACGGGTTTTCCACGCGAGATCCAATCAAAATAGCCCACCTGAACCATTCCTGCCATTCAAGCGTTGATTTCAATCACATCGTCAAATGTTTTTCCATATCCACCTTGGGCGGTTATCTCATGTTGTTCCCCGGAGACTTGGCTCGTTACAAACATCTGACGACCGCTAAAAACCCGATTAATAAACAAATATGCGTATATCAAATCACGGCTAGTCAAATCTCTCCCAATTATACCAGAAAGAATGGTATTTTTTAAAAAAAAGAATGAAATAAATATTGTCGGCTGAATATTATAGTGTTCTATGTGCTATTTTTTGATAAATGTGCTGTTAAACGGGCCCGATTAAAATTTTAAACAAAATAAAATTATGTAAGCATCGAAATTTGGCAAATCGATGTCCAAGCATTTATGCCAGCTATAAGCAAAATCTTTAGGCTTGCATAATGTTATTTTGGTTATCATCTTAATCGAACGTTTTTAAAATAAACCCGAATCGGGTTTTTTAAACAACACTTTTAATAACCTTATCAAATATCAAGCATTTTTTATTTATTTTCAATTTAAGAATTATCGCCCGCTGATGGCAATAACCCTATAATTAATTTTCAATGATATTTTTTTCCTTCTTCCAAAACAAAAAAAAATTCACGAATCAAAAAAAATGATCATTTCACTTTCTAAATGTAATAATTGTAATCAATCAGTTCTTTCTAATTTAAATACATAGTAGTGCTATAGACATTTCTAAAAGAAATCGAACGCGTTTAACGTTCGATGTTAAAAATTGAAGGCTCTTATGTTCAAGTTAACTTTCAAAAAAAGAAATGCGTTTACGTTCGTTCAAACCTTTATAAATTTTTTTTAAAAAAATTGAATTTAATATAAGTAAATAGCATATATTTTTTAACACAATATATTTAACACGTTTAAAGTTAATAAAAATTCTTATTAATTTTTAATATATAAAACTTTTATTTATCCTATAAAATTTAATTATTTATATAATATATAAATTCATAATACTTTAAATAGTGTTCAACTATTAAAATATGAAACCCTTGATAAAAACTTGAAAATAATAGCAAAATTTCAAATAATACTAAAAATTAAATTCAAAAAGATTTTAAATATTTTATATCTATTATGTATATAATATTTAATGATTTTTACTTTGTGTCTTTATTATAATAATAATCATAATTTAATAATGAAATACAGCAGTCTAAATTATTAACAGGATACTTATAGATATATTATATAAAATAATAAATATTACAATCAAGTACCTCTTTAAATTAGAACTTGAAGATTTTGAACACATTTTACATTTGGTAAGGCTAGAATTAGTTTATTGAAGATATGATGTTACTCTGAAGTATTTATTATATTTAGGCCATAGTAATGTTAATGATGATGATAATGAAATAATCCACGCCTACGTTAATCTATAAATAATATTCAAATTAATAAACTGTGTTATAAGACAAAAATAGTGGCGGTTAAAAAATTCAAATGTGATAGAGGAAACAACTGATTAAAAAATAATCCTTTTTTCTAAAAAATATTTGGATTGATATTTTTTATTTTCAAAGGAATAAAAATAAAAAGATTTTCTAAAATACTCATAGTTCGTCAAACGTCTTTCATCATTTTTTTTTCAAAAAAAAACGAATGTTCCTCAGATGACGATGTGCCAAAAATAAAGGGGAAAAGATTACATGGTTTTGACTAGCTCTTCAAAATCAAAATATCTTCAAATATTTTTGATCTATGATAGTGATTTTGAGTTATGCTCAAAAATTCTGTTTTTTTATTAAACCTTCTTTTATTCTTTAGCATTACTTTTACTCTTACTTTTTTTTATCGTAACCACACTTTTGGTCACGTCATTAGGTCGGAATAAAAGTAATAAATCAGACTCCGGTGCTAAACTTACCATTCAAATTAACAGCGACACCTTGTACCATTCCATGTTAGGACAAAGCATAGATGACACGACTCCCCATGTGGATGGCACTAAAGAATCTAACGAAATGAATGATTCTTCTGACAGGATTGGTTACCTTTTATTCAACGATATATATTATAATGTAAGTGATCTTACCAATAAACAATCTATGATTTTGAATACTTTATTTGATAATATTTTCATAAGTAGCTAATTGCAATAATATAAATAATTAAGGGTATAGATATAAATAAATAACAACCAATTAATTTACAAGGTTGTTTTTAATATAACTTATTTCGACTATGTTAAATTATTACTTAAATTAACTTTCCCATTCTATAAAAATAAGCCCGTTATTAATACTTAGAAAAAAAATCCATTATTCATTTATGCGATTAAAGAGATTATTGGAGAAAAATATAGTTATAATCTAATTCGGCCATTTCAACCATTACATTTACAAACTAATTAAAATTAATTTTTTTTAAAAAAACAACAAATTCTTTATTATGCTGCGAAGTCAAAAGTCGATAACATCACAAAGGTAAATAAAATTAGAGAGAAATTGGGAACCCCGTGCTTCGAGGATCCATTTTACGGGGAAAATTTGTATGTCAACAAAGTAAAAAAATTATATATGTCGTATGGGGTTTCGGAATCTCTCAATTTTAAATCATTTTCTAAAGGCGTTGGATTTAAAAAATCTGATTTTACAGGAATTGTATTCCAGCATGTTTAGAGTATTTATCCTATAACATCGATTTTAGTGTTTTTTAATTTATGTGAAAATTAATATAAATTAGAAGTAGTTCTAAAGTTCATGGCAAAATTGTTTGAAATTTACAGGTTGGGTACCCATGCTAGAATACATTTCCGGTTAAATCTGATTTTAAAATTTTAAATCGCCCATGGTAAATTTTAAAATCAAGAGATTCCGAATCCCCATACGACATATATATTAGATACTAACTATATATGATAATCATTCAGGCCTAGACAAAATAATTTTTATAAAATCTGGTTTAAGAACATGGATAATTCTGTAGGATTGGATAAAAATTAATGGGTAACGAGACGTAGTTAAAATGCTCTCCTCTATTTTTTTTTGTTTTATCAAATTTTGTTTAATATGTGTGTATCAACAGTTTTGTAGAAAAATTTTTTTAAAAAAATATATAATCTAGATATAAATACTTTTTAGATAATAATTAACTAATACTAAAAGTATATTTTATTTTAAGAATAGAAAGTACTCGCTAAACCGCCCAACTTTATAATTATATGGTAGTTTATTTTTTTCGTAGCACATTACTAATATTTTATAAATTAAAAATGTTATACTATTTAATAAAATATATATGACTATTGGTTATAACATATTTGTCTATCATTATATTGCGTAATTTATAATACACAATTAACCCCCCCTACCCGCCTAAAGTGCTGTATATTAAATTACTGTACTTAGAATTAATATTATCATGTTTGCCTAAGTAAAGATTAAGGATTAATAGTTCTGTTTCGACTTCAATACAAATATTAAATGTAGTTATTTTAAACTTAAATTTAATAATATTCATACTTTTTGTGAACCACAAAGATATCATTCAATCCGTTCCCTGCGCATCACGATTGGATCCTAAGTTGTACCGGGGCAGGTTTTGTTAGAATTCATAGACTGAACGAACTTCAAAACCGTTTAAAACAAATGAACAAAATCAACAGGAAAGGATAAAAAAAAAGGACAACTATTTATTGTTTTAGAGTGCTCTCGTTTAAACATTATTATAATTCTTAAAATATTTTTTTTAACGCGAATATCTAAATTTTAGATTGAATCAACGATTTGTACAGTTTTATTATTATTATTTCAATCCAAAAAAATGTAATATATTATTTTTTATTAAAAAAATATGTAATTATTTATTTATTAATTTAGATAATTTGTGTAAATATTTTCATAATTTTAAAATCATGGCATATTTTAGATTATAATTTTGAGCAGTCAGGCCCATTCGCAAGAATAATAAAAATCTTTCAAAAGAATTTTATACAAATAATCCATTATTCAATTCTTTTTGAATGGGCCTAGTAAGCATAGTTTGGTAATAGATAATTTGCCTAACATCTAGACACTTTTCAAAACAAATTCCCTAAGTATTGATATTTACTCTGCTTTATTCATATTGAGCTATTTCATTTTTTTTAAACCCGAAGCTAGGTTTTCGGTCGGTTAGAAATTTGACTTTTCCACTTTTTGGTAGGGTAAAAATAGAGGAAACTGCCCCATTATTGTTAAAAGGCATTGAAGTTAATACAGGTAACAAATCGGTTTATATAAACGATAGATGGATGAGATTATTAATATTTAAAATTTCTAATTTAATATATATATAATCAGAAAAGGATAAGTATATTTTTAGTAATAGCTGACAGACTTGGACATCAATTTGCCAAATCTCGATGCTTACATAATAGCTAAAATATTAATCTGGCCGTTATGAAACGACTTAAATCGGGCTTTTTAATAACACTCTAATCCTCCCCTTTAAATATCTCTCACCTAATCCAGGTTTAAAAAGAAAAGGTCATCTAAATCAAAACTACCTCCCTCCTATCAGTTTTGATGACATACTACTGCAATTTCTTTGATCCATTTTATTATTAAATTATAAAAATAATATCTTTAATTTGCGCTTTATTTTCTGACTATTGTTTTTCTTAATCGCATTCGTACGAATAGTAAAACCGTCGAATTTATTAAAATATTCGATTAAAGAGTTTAAAAAATAGTAAGAAATAGAGAAGAGGGGGAAAAAAATTTATTGAGTAAAAATATTGAATATTTGAGATTAATTCAGAATATTAAATCAGTAATTTTAAATATTCTTAATTAGATCGAAAATTGAGGTGGCTATTATTATTCAATTGAATAGTTTTTTTTCGGTATTCCACTTGGAAATTCGTATTAATTGGGTTATTTTATTCGTCATAGTAAAATTCAAATCTAACAAAGTAAAAGATTCTTTTTAGGGGGTCTACTTAATTTATCACTCTTTTGGGCGTTTCAAAAATTAATTCGAAAATAACATTAAGAATCAAACATGATGTTGGAGAAAGACCATCTCATCGTGAAAATTAAACCTCTTTTATGAAATACTATAAAATTACAATTTATGCCATCTATGAGTTCCAAAATAGTACCCCTCTTTGAATGATACAAATTTCAAAGTAAACTTTGTCATAAAATGCTTTAAAGTTTAATTTAAAAAAAAAATTAATTAATCAATAAAAAAATAATTCTAAAATTACCTCCCAATTCCATTGCATATACATATGCTTATTTTTAGTATTTAATTTATGCAACCATATTACCAAAATTAATTTGAATTAAACATTTATATATTTTAAATGTAATTGTAACTGTTTCTAATAATAATAAAAAAAAATGAAATAATTTTATTGCAGGTACCAGATCTGATCAATATCGATCTGTATTTTAAAATTTTAATAAAATTGTAATTTTTTTATTTAGAGTTTATGTAATATTTATAATAACGAGAATGTTATTTTAAAAAGAATAATAGTATTCGAAATGTTAAAATGAATTCATTTTTTTAATAATTATTAGGGGTTTTTTTGAGTTTAACTAGTTTTCGAATTTACAAATACATCGATTCATTAAAAATCTATATTTAAAAAAAGCATAAAATAAAATATTTCTCTAAATCCTTTTTATAGAATTATTTTTTTGTAAATTTAATATCGTGATCAAATAATAGTAAAGTTTAAAGACTCATTTAATTTAATTTACGTCTACTGTGAATTTTTATTTATATATACATCTAAAAACACACAATATTATAGGGATAGGTTCTAAATCGTAAAAATTCATGCTTGTTATCTACCTTGAAAATTTCTTAAGTAAATTTAAAAAAATTAATAAATAATAGATGCGAGGAAAGTAAACACATCTATCTATTTAAATTAATTTTTTTTTAAAAAATAAATTTATAAAAATGGTAGGTATATAGCGTCTATTTATATTAATTTAAAAATTTTTCTAGAAGATAATAAGCGAGATTCCTAATTTTTTAGCGATTTAGAACGGGAACCATATAATTAATTTAAATAGAAGATAGATATTCTGTAATCGGTCAGCAGGCAGGATATTGATTCGATTATTTTTATTCGGGCCGGAATCGACATCTTCTGAGCCGGTTTAACCTGGAAAATTGCAAATATATAAGAATAATTTATTATCCGATTTGATTTTTGAATAGGCGCCGCCTACTAATAGATCTAAATTTTAGTCTTTAGATAACATGAAAAAATTAATTTCCATATTTATCTCTTTTTGGATAAAACTCTTTTATTTCATCATTCTTTGGTAAAATTATATGTCGGGATTCATTCATAATTAAAATTTCCAGATTCAGGGTTTCATTGTCCGTTTACCTTCACTAATTCGTAGAATGCCAGAAGGCAAGTATATGGATGATGTTTTTATGTTTGAGAAGAAAAAAAAAGGTTAGCATTTTTATTTTAAGAAACTCAGCCCGGCCCATGTTTCCTCAATTTTCTTTTAAAAAAATTGCACCACAGGTTTCTGAATTTTTATTTTAATGATTTTAATCCATTCTCTATTAAAACTCTATTACTTTTTTTTAACTGATTTCTATGGATTCATTTGACCTTCAGATAATACTCATTTCCTTGAAATATTTTAAAATATTCAATCCTTCCATTTGCCACGTGGTTTTATCTATAAGTGATTAGAGTTTTTGGTATAATCCCTTACTAGTTCTAATAGCTAAAAAAAAAGTAGGGCCAACTAAATCTATATATGCTTGGCGAATCTATAAAAATTGCTACGTGAGTTAAATCAGATTTCTAAAAAATAAAGACATTACCCAAATATACTTATAGCCATATGGTGCGAAGAGTAAACAAGTTTTTGAGTGTTAATTTTATAAAAATTTTAAAAAATATTTAGATTTTTCAATTGGAAAAAAGAAACAGGGAACATTTGACATAATTATAATACACGGGGCATATAGGAATGTCTAAATTATGGATATTAATCAAATTTCTTGGTATATATAAGAATGATGACATCTAAATAAACCTTTTTTGATACCTGTAAAATGGAAATATGTCGATCCTAGCCCGCCCCGAAAAGCAAATCCTCCTCAATTATTTATTTTATTTTATTTTCTCATTAAATTAAAATATGTAGCAACTTGATAATTAATTTAATGGTATCACATCACGACAATTCGGTATCAACAATTGGACGCGCCCACAAATTTGGGCATTTAATTCAAAGTATTGCATTAGAAAACATTAAATATGATTATGTAAGTATATATAATATCAATTATCTAAATATGTATTGATGTACAAACACACATTTAATTACGAGTTTCGATTAAAAAAAAATCATAATTTAACTAAATTATAAAAATGCCTTCATTATTGATCCTCGATTACATAAATGCAATAAAATAGTTATTAGTAATTGATAGCTAATAATTATATTTATTATTTAAAATGTATTTCGTTTTATATTGTATTGATTTTATTTCAAGGTCAACGCTGAGATTGTCCGCATAGAAATTGTCAGCGTCGAATTGTTGTTCAGCCACAAGTTACAAAATATCATATGATAATGAATGGTAAATAATTCATACTTTCTAATTTTTGCTAAAAATTTATCTTAAAATTGCGATTAATGGTCTGCAATACCAGGCTCGTTACCCAACCCTGCCGGACCGGGCAGGGCCTAAGAATTTTGCCATTTGCAAAACCATATTTTGTGATAGGCAATCAGGCAGAAAATGAAGAATAAGAAGGAAATTCTTCAATGTTTTCCAGACTACGGGCCTATAATTTAGCGGATATTACCGTCTGGCAGACTGAAACATTGCAGGACTCTCATTCTCATAACCACGTGCTAATGTTTAAGTGTTGCGGAGAATAAAAGAGAGTTAAGGATGACGTATAGCCAGGCTTTTAGTCTTCGAGTGATATTTAAAGAGGCATATATATTTCCATATTTCGAATCATATTTCGTTATCTCTACTCTAAATCCTAATAAAAATAAGCTCATCACTTTTTAAAGAAGATTCATGAATATGAAGCAACTTAGATTAGGCAATAGTTATCTAATATACTATTAACTATTAGTAATGTTTTAATTAAATTATAATAAATGACTGAATTAGGTACATAATTAATTTAATATTTTACTTCAATTTTGAAATGCATGTAAATGCATAAAACTCAACTTCAATTAGAATTTAAAGGTGAAATTTGCCTAGAAAATTATGAGCCTGTGAAACTGAAAATCTCGACATTGCCTTTTATTTTGCTAGCCCTTTTACCCAGACGGGCCCTTAAATACGTTACTGGTCGCATCTATCGTTTGAAAATATTTAAGGGGAGACCCCTAAGATACGCATTTAGTTTTATAAAAAAAAAAAAATTTTAATGAATGAAGGAAAAATAAAATTTTAAAACGTAAAAAAAAAGAAGATAAGAAGATGACAAATTTTCAAAACGTTAATTATTGAATAATGAATAGGAAAAGGGAGAAGGATTTCAATGAAATAATGTTTACTTAAAATAAATAATTTTAAACTCAAATCATTATATGACAATGATATTTTATTTTTTTGTCATATTTTTCATTTTTATTCTATTACTTGTTTAGACATTTCATTTACCACTTCCCTAAAATTTATTTATTATTAAAAAAAAAATTAGCGAGTTCGGAAATTTGCCGAATATTTTTTTTTACAAAACCCGTATTAAAAAATATATATAAAAATTTTAATCCCACTTCATTGGGAGATTGATGAAGGATATCCATGATAAACTGTTTTTTTTATAAGGGGTATGCATTTACTCATCATTTAAAGAAATAATTATATGAGAAAAGGTGATTTTATTATAATTATCAGAGTTGTTAAAGTATCTATTATAAAATGTATTTAACTTATCTATATCCAGATACTAGGTATCTGTTATCTCTTTTTCGATAGATTTTGATAAATTACGTTTTTTTTTATATTGAAAATAATAATATTTGAATTAAATTCGAATTTTATTCATCAAGAACGAGCCAAAGAAATTTTAATTTACGAAATGGATGACGGCAAACATTGTAAATTTATTTTATTTATATTAATTTTTTTTATAAAAATATATTTCATTATCTTTAGATTCATATTTCTAGACAATTTCTAAAAAGAAATCATATAATTTAATATTCGATTTATTTTTTCGGCACCCATTGGAGATATAAATATTGATTATAATTTTTTGTTAATATATTTTTGAATATGTGTCGGGATTTTAATATATTTGAGATTATAAAATCTTGATTCGCTATTTAGTGACGAAAGTTTTAGAAATTGTTAACTGCGACACACATAAATATGAATAAAGTTGTTATCATTAAATATAACACTCTGCCGTCAAGTGGAACATGGCTAAAAATATATTTGCAGATTAACGGGGATTATTCAAATGCAACTATTAGTTATAACTTTATTTATGAACTATTAAAATATGCTCGTATATGTAATATCAGTTCAATATTTATTTTTTAACTCATTTCAAAATTTGAATTTTAACAATATAATCCCAAATTAAGCTCACATCCTTAAATAAGTGTAATAAAAATTGTATCTGTATTTAGTAGATCTATTTGAAAAGTATCTTTTAATAATACTGATAATTACCTGTGTACGATTTTATTATATATAAAAAAAAATACAAATCTGAAATTATTCAATTTTTTTAGAAATTCACGTCCTTAAAAAATTAATTTATGTTCAAATCCGGCCCGAGCTATAAATTTAAAATTCAACAAAATATCCTGTTCTATCCAGAAAATGAGTTTTCCTTCTTAGAAAATATTTTTAATGTTCTTTATTATTCGATTCCTGGGTTGGGGGGGGGGGTGAGATAATAATGAATAAATAAAATATATTGCACCTCATAAATTAGAGATAAAAGACGCAAAAAAAAATTTTTCAATATAATTTTGTAAGTTTTCCATAGTAAAAGTTATATTTAAAAAATATATATTCATAACAAACGCGTAAATTACAAATTATAGATTGAATAAACAAAATAAACATTTCTATTTTATTTTTCTCTTTTCTTCTTTCCCTCTCTTTATTTTTTTTTTATAAATCACTCACTTTAACAAAACAACAAAAAAAAATAATTTTTATTTATATTTTCATAATTTTTTTTTTCTCTTTTAGTTATTTTACACAAAAAAATTAAATTTTGAAACGAACATAATAATTTTAAAAAAAATATATTTAACAAAATAAATCTAATTTATATATTATCGATGTTGTTGTTTACATAAAATATCATTATTTTGTTTATTATTATTTATTTGTTTTGAACAATTTTTTTATTTTTACTATCAATTCCTTGCGATAAGGAGACGAAGTGACGTGTGGTAAGCAATTTTATTCTGAAACTTGTTTATTTTATTTTTACTATTTATTGTTTACCTGATAAAAATAAATAAGTATTTTTATGTTAGTAAACAAAAGTCAAAGTAAATAAGTAGAAAGAATATTTTATGAATGAATTTCAAAAAGAGATATCGCTTAGTTTTCAAGTACGATAATATGTATCTAGATGTCCTTTTTCTAGTTTAATATTTTAAGAAAAGAAAATGGTGGCTTGATCAAAGATTTTTTTTATTGATTTTTCAAATAGTTTTTTTTTACTATAAATTATTTTGTAGCATTGAGAAAAAAATACTCCCCAAAATATATAGGTTTTTGCACAAACTTCGTTTAAGATCTTGAAAAAAAAATATACATTTTATTTATAAATCTACCAATCAAATGAGTTTTTGCAATTTCTCCTTTATCTTTATTTTTTTTTAAAAAAATTGAAAAATTAAAATGGCGTTAAATGATCGAATGCAAAAAAAGTAAAAACAAAATATAAATAGGAAGATGTGTTGTAGCATTTGGGAAAATGAGAGTAATGGTTATTATTTATTTTTTTTAAATTAAAATTTTTTTTTTAGAAAAGCACTAAAATATGAAATAATAAATTGACTTTTAAATTTACTAATATTTTTTTCTCGTTGAGGTGTTAGTAAATAACATAAAATTAAAAATTGTGTTTATATTTGAATAATAGAAAATTGAAGCCTGAATTCACTAATTTTTTTTTGCTTTAACAAAATAAATTGATGATATTAAAGGTAGAGATATATTATCATTGCAACAATTTTTGACATTATTTTTACTATAAACATTTTTTATTAACAATTTTTTCCTTTTTTTTTTATTATAAACTTATTTTTTATTCATAATTTATATAGAATTGCATTTAGAGTCATTATAATGCCTTATCATTATTGCTTGTCAATACCACAATATTCATAAAACCAATATAATATGAGTTCTTCAAACCAATCTTCTTATCCTTCCCATTTGAACCTTACACAACCCATAATTGGGGGTAAGACATCTAGTTTTTTGGATGAGCTCAATGATATGCCACCTCCAGCAGCCTCATATAATATTCCCAATAGACAAAATTATCATCCTTTAAACCAAATGTACTCTTCTAATTATAATATACAAGCTTATCAACCTTCAAATTCACAAAATTCTAACCAGTTACAGCAACAGCCATTGAATTTATTCGATGCCAATTCTAATTTTCCAGTACATGGCAATAATAATACTGTTGGTATATCTATTTATAATCACTCATCACAAGCCATGGAAATTAACAATAGCACACTCAACCAGATACCATACAGATCATCTCATCCACAAAATAATTATTATAATAATTATCTACCTCACCAAACTCCACATAATATAAATAATCAGTCTTATTATCCTGACAAAACTGCCACAAGAATACCCATGCTACCTTACCAAGATAACCCTTTAATTATTCCAAACCAAAGGCCTCAAGAGATAAATTTTAATAATTTGCCCTATCCAAATAATTATACCAATGCTCCTCCTGTAAATAAGAGATTTATTCCTGTCAACCAGACACCTACCGAAGATTTTACCAGAGCCCCAATGGTGCATCCCTCTTTCAATCCTCATCAGGGTCAGCCCATGCATCATCAAGCTATGCCCATAAGATACTACAATGATGGAAGGGGTGACATTAATATCTTGAACTATCAACAAAGTACACCTCAAGGTATGCCTCAATCTAACAAATACATTCCTATTACCTGCACTCATCTAGCTATTAAAAATGAATATTATAACCACCCTCAAATTTTAAATGATAGAAAACCTCAACAACCAAGCCCTTTTCTTGCTCAAAATAATGCAAAGCCACCTACTACTATTTTTAACAGGCCCCCTCTCCAAAATTCATATATTAATTTTCCCAATTCATATTCAGATTTCAACAATAGCAGCTATAATAACTCAATTAATAACAATTCTCTCATGTTATCAAATGCTACAATAGACCAACAAAAATTTGCTTTCAACGAGAATGATCTTACCAAAATTATAAATAGATCATACATAGCAACAACAAAATCAAATGAAAGTTTTTCTACTGCCTACAATCAAGCTATATCTACACTACCATCACAAAACATCATGGTAAATGAAAATATTGGCAAACCATACATTATTGAAAAATATCCATTAGGTAATTTAGCATCTTTAATAACACAGGGTGGTTCATCCATAAAACATTACCCAATGGGCCACACCTTTCCAAATACCACAACATACAAACAATCCTTTTTGGACTCCCTACGAGACCCTGAAATTTATGGTTTGGAAGATAAAATTCTGCCAAAATGTGAACCATTTCAACCCACACTAAATTTGGGGATGGCATCATCAACACCCTCTATCCAAAAAATCAAGGAAGAGCCTACACTACTTAAACATGAATCAGATATAACTGTCACAAGATATGCTGCCTACCCTACAACATTATTAAATCAAATACCTGGTGCTACCATGTATAAACCCCCCATACAAAATATTAGTCATTTGCCTATCAAAATAGAAGAACATCATTTATCAAAAGATATGCTAATTGTTCCAGAGATTAAGTACCCACCTCTCAATAGGAGTTTTGTAGAAAACTCTCAATTCTCTGTCAGGACCTCTAGGCCATCTCATACCCCATCTTTCCAAAGTCTTTTGCTTGACCAGGATATAGAGTTTCCTACATCCCTTAATTTCCTGCACAACAATAATTCCTCACATCAATTATCAACTAGTACACTTGTTAGACATGCAGAATACATTAAGAAAGAACCACTGAATGAACCAAACTCCTTTATGATACAAGTATTTAATTTTCAAAAAAAACCTTTATTTAAAGGCCAGGACATTTTTAAATGTGAAAGGAATAAAAAAGGAAGAAAAGGAAAAAAATGGAGAAAGAAATAATATATTTTTGATCGGATAAGATAAGAATGTGGCAATGCCATGTCCCAAAAACATTGTATTTTTTTCTATTGGCTAATATCTTATCTATTTCCAAATTTCTTTTAACACAAATAAATTTCCCTCATATTGATTAATGTGAGATAGGGCTATTGTATAATGATCAATATTTATTATATAATGGTGATTCCTATAATTAAAAAAGACTAGATAAAAAAATCTAATCTTTGCATTTATGAATGATTTGATTGCAATTGATTTGTGACAAAACTTATACTAATCAGGGCATGCAGATGTATAATTTTTAGACCTGGCCCAGCTGGGATTTTTAAAAATTTTGACACTTTAAATTATGACAATATTTTATAAATTGTTTCAAAGGGAGGAAATGAAAAATATGGGCAATGCAAATATGTTTTTAGACCCTAACTGGATTTGTAATTTATTTTTAAGACTATCTTTCACTTTTTAATAGTAAAACCTATTTTTTCTTTTAAGTCCCATATGAATAATGTTTTCCCCCAAACATTGATTCAAATTAAATTGCATCTTTAGAATGAAGGGCAAGCAAAGATTTTTTTAAGAACGTCTGCATTGTAAGACCTTAAAACACACCATTGCCATAATTAAAGGCACAGTTTTCCTTTGAGAACTTAATTTTTTAATAGCTATTATAGCGAAACTCCAGCTGATACATCAATCCCTTTTGGAGATGGGTTTTCGAATATTAAAAAGATTATATCATCATTCCTTTTCTCCTTTGTTTTCCAAAAAAAATAATTCAAATAATCATTTTATATATTTTAATGTCATTAAAGGCAGTTTCTTTTTTTACTTCTCCATTTCCAGTTTCACAAATCGATAATTCCCATCTATATAAAATAAATGACATAATAATAAATATTTAATCTATAATATTAGTTATTGTATTTGTATAAATAAGTTGTTATGTAATGGGTATTAATATCACATCTCGGTAAAAAAAAAATTCCTAGAGGATGAAATAATTTTTTTTAAAAAATTAAATTAATTACGATACTCATCAGTTCTCCTCTTTCTTTTTTTTGTAAATCTTAACTAAACATAACACATTTTTTTTTATATATAAAAATAGTAGAAAAAACCTTTTAATTTTGTTATTATATTTATCATCCTTTCTCTTTCCTTCCCTTGACGTATTTATTAAATACTTAAATATAAAAATCAACAAAATGATAGCTTTTCTTTAAAAAAAACGCGCTACTATTTCTGAAGAAATTTGTTTAAAAAAACATTATATACGCACTGTCAATCGATTCGCTAAGAGAATAATTTCTAGAGGATCATTTTTGCTCGTATTTTTTATATATTTTTTACAGCTTCTTTCAAATCAGCATTTCGGAATACATTACCTACGATTTTGAAAGTTCTTATATTCATTGCTTTCCTATTTGAGAACTTAGTAAATATCGTCTGCATATTATTTGATTCGTATCTATTCTTTATTTGGTATTTAATATCCGCTCACATCAATTTTTTTAAACATTGAATTACAATATGCTTTTGCATGCATATTTCTCGAGTTAAGTAATTATTATATTTCTATATAAAATTATGTATTATACAACAGGACACTCTCAATCCCTTAGTGGTGTCGAGCCTTGCCTCGCGCGCTTCGCTCGATTTGCATGCTTCCTATCGTTCGCCCTCGCATCCAAATGCCCAAGCGATGGGTTCATTTCACCCAGCTACCTATGGCACGAACTTCGGAGTCAGCAATAACGAGCCCAAGGCCCAGCCCGCAAACTCAAAATCTGGCCTCGAACCCGTGGTATCTGGCTCCGAACTCAGTTTTAAACCAGCCCCCAAACGTAAAAAAAAGGAGCGTAAAATGGCCGACGAAAACACCGTAGCTTTACCTAAGACCCCGGCTCGCCCTAAAAAGGAGGGACCCGTTAAGAAACGTAATAGTAAAGTGCCCACCATCTCGTCTTTTAAGACGGAAGAGGAAAAAACCATCAATGATTCCCTTAATGACCTCTTATTAGATCTCTCTTCCTCTCAACCCAGGGAAACCCTTTCCTCCTCTTCGACCTGTAGTCTGGTTATGATCCCAGTCGGATCGTCTCCCCCTGCCCATTCGCCCACCTCCCTCTCAATATCGACTTCGCTCACTAACATCGCTAATAACGTATCACTGGGGACCGGCGGAGGTGGACCTGCCAATATATTAGCAAGTTCGGTCACTTTCGTGGTCAGCCAGAAACGCAAAAAAACCGATGGTTCATTATCCTTGGATCGTGGCAGCGGAGCTGATATCGTTAGTTTCTTTTTTTATAATCCTTTTTTCCCATCTTTTATTTTGTCGTTTTCGCGATTAAATTTTCCGATGATCCGAAGAAACTTGATCATTATGCCGCGTCGTATTTAGTATAGTTGGGTAATGACTAAATGCCGGCTAATTCCGCTCAATCTTCAGGCGCTTGCCGGAGAAAATCCGTTAACATTAAGGCGTTCTAATTTATATTAGTTACTTCAAAATTTGAGCTCCTAATTTTTTAACAAAACCCCCCTAGGCCAAAGTGATAGTTTTCGGCTAAAAATTGACTCAGACAATTAATTAAACTTCTTTTTATTTGTTGTTTTGACATTTTGACAAATTAACAATTTAAAATTGAACGTCTCGCGTAGATTCCAATTTCTTTTTTCTAGCCTATGGATCTTTAATTTGTTATTAATTTTCGAATACTATATGAAATTTCTCTATAGGCTAAATTCAACCAAAAATACTATTTCCAAAACTTTTGAAACTTCGTAGAAGAAAAAAAAAATATAAGCCTTTTTTTAATATAAAAATAAAAACGTACCCAAAAATATAATTTCTAAGAGTATTTTAAAAATTTAACATACAATTTCATTAAAATTCCGAAAGTTTTAAAACTATTCGAATTTTATTAGAAAAGATTTTGGACTAGGGCCTTATTTATAGTAAGCGCGTTATGTTCAAGCGGTGCGTTATTTCTAAAATCAAGCCAATAAATATTTATAATTTATAAATATGAAGCCTTATGATGATAATACTTCATTGTTTTTCTTCATATCGAAAAAATATTAACGCTAAATGTGCCATTGTTAATGCTAACTGTGTCATTGTTAACGCTATGAGGAATCAGCTCTGATTTCGATAACGATAAATAAAGCAACGCTTGAAAATAACGCGTTTACTATAAATGCCTTAACCATAATGATCTTCATTCTTTCCTAAAAAAAGAGCAAATGATTTTTGATTTAAAAAAAAAGAAAGATTCTAAATATATAATTTAATCTTCTTTCTTTAGCCAAACCATAACTTTTTATTTTATATATGAGGAAAATAATCTGTATAATTTTAATATTTCATTATAATCACTTTGGGATTATGGAAATTGACCTTATACAAGAGTTCTCAAATCAATAATTTTTTTCCCCTTTTCGTGTAAGGCCGAAAAATAGTGTATTTTTTTAGAAAAATATTGATATCATTACATCAAATTAAAATAACCCTTTTAAGGAAGCAGCTAGTGTGGCTGGCAACAAAGAACCTGGGTTGACAGCTGACGTGGACCCGGCTTATCGGATAGAAAAGGGTGATAAAAATACGAGTTCGGACGAGTTTTCCTCTGGCCCAGCAGGTAGCGGAAGTGGAAGGAAGAAATCAAGGCACCGACTCATAAAATTGAAGTAAACTACAATTAAAATAAGTTTATTTAATCTGAGCTTGCTCGACATTTGTTAATTTTTTAAGCAGACGATATCTTTAGAAGCAGGTTCGTTTCTAGAGGATATGTCAGCTACCAGATTTCTTTTAAAAGATGGGACAATATTTTTTATCTCCTACACGTGAAACTTTTTTTTTCAGCATTTGAATAAATTATGATCGCAAAAACTTTACGTCTTGGTGAGAGGAAAATCTAATTTATGGGAAAAATCTGGTAGCCATTATTATTATGACTCGAATTTCTTCGTTGTAAATCTTATAATTTTCTCAAAAAATAAAATAATAATTAACAAGAACACCTATCGTCGTAGGCACTAGAGGTCGCAAAAAGGGTTCGGCCCGATCCTCTTCCAGTCGAAAAGAGCGAAAATCAGGCGGTAAGACACCCAAAAGAGGCAGAAAACCGAAAAAAGATGGAGGTGATCTGTCGGCCGATTACTGCGACGACGAAGTGACTGCCGAAGATGACGCCAGTGATGATGAATACCGTGATACCACGGTCAGGGCCTACAGGGATTATTCTAGGAAGAAAAGCGAAAAATTAGATGTCGGGAAGATTGGGAATACTGAAGAAAATTATAATGATAACGATAATCGAGAAGAAAATGAAACGATAGTCGCCTTAGTGGGAACGGAAGATGTGGATATTTCTTTTATTGAGGTATTATTTGTTTTATTTAAATTATATCAAGAATGCCCCCAGGACCATTAGTTTATCACAAGTAAAATTGCCACTTTAACTCCCTCGTGTTTTTATCCTCAAGCAAGATCATAAATAAACGGATTTTGCATGATCATCTTATGGGTGCATAAATCATTCATTATATTTTTCCCCTATAGAAACGTCGATCCGCGAGACAAGTTAAACGAAAGGTGTACATGGACGAAGCCATGGATGACGAAACCTTCGAGCGGGAAATCATGCACGCACCCACTAAGAAGAAATCGAGTGCCAGAAATCTCCAATCTCTCACCTCCTCTTCTACCAATGTTGATTTTTTCAGTTCTGATGCCATTATGGATGCCATCATTGTTCAAGGAGATTCAAACCCAGAGACGAATTCCAATATTGGGCTTGTTGATTTAAAAGGTTTTGTTTATTTGAAATTTATTTGGTTATTATAGATAGATTGTAGATAAGATGATAAAATAAATTATATTTTTTAGTGTTTGTTAACGTTACTTTTCAAGAGTAACTAGTTAATATCATAGATACCTTACTTGAAATGTAAGTTACTCAAATCTAATAGTTACATTATAATGACCTTAATTTTTCTTTATCAAAAGATGCAATTAATTATGTGACTTACTTAAAAGCATGAAACAAAAACAACTTTAAGAAAGAAGAAAAATCATTTATTATATTTAGCATCAACGTGTTTTTTCCCATCCATGTGTTTTTTTTTAACTTTAAATCATTTTTTGAGCGCGTATATTAAAGCTTAAAAAATTTAGGAAAGTATTTCGCCATATTTAGAATAGATCTACTCTATGAATTTCAGACAATCGCTTAACTTTTGACTTTGATTATAATTTATATAAAAATCTAGAAACTAATATATATTCTCTTAAGTTAGAGAGAAAGAAAGGTTATTCAAACAATTTTCTAAAAATTTTAGTAGGTTTTCTCTAAACATATCTTAATATATTTCCGGTAAAATCAAATTTTTAAATTTACATAAAACGCGCTCTTAAAAATGATTTAAAATTGTAAAAATAATACATTGAACTGATAAAAAATAATTATTCTTTTTAATTAATAAATTAAATTGCAAAACACTGCTTATAAAATGACGATTACAAAATTTTGATTTTAAATATTTGTTGGCGGGAAAGAATTAATTACACACAAGATTTATTTTAAACTTTAATTAAATTGATACACATTTATATAAATAATCTAACTTTTTTATAAGATATAATAAAATAAATTATAAATCTAGTTTGGTTGCAAGCTCAAGTTCCTCAAAAAAGGTAACTGTAACTAGTTATTACTGAGCATTTGGTTGGGAATTTATAAATGGTTATTTATTCCCCAAAATGAAACTGTTTTATTTATATATTATAAACCTGCTATTTATTTATCGGCTTATCTAAAGGAGATTTTTCCCAAACCACGGACTTAGCTGGACTATCAACGGATAATAACAATACTATTGCAGGAATAGATAACACGACAACTCTTCCTAACATTAATAACATCGTAGGTGATAACTCATCAATCCCTCTTACTATGACGACTTCACCCTCAATAGCTGTGCAATCTGATTCGTCTCTACCCGTTAAATCACTCAACACTCCCAAGAGTGAGCATATGGGAACAATTGAAGAAGACGATCATTCTGAACCGCTTAACCCTTTAGCGGACCTGAGGCGAAGGAGAAAACTGGAAGGCCCACACTATAAGCCCGAAATGGTCAATGTGACTACAGAATTCGGCCGATCCGCTTTGGCTCTCTCTCATCGTTTAATCAAATTGGAATCAAAGGCCGCCGGAAATATTCACCGAAATTCAAAGGAAACATCTAAGGGGGATGAAAGGGATTTCTCTAGAGAACCTCTTCCACCATTGGCCGTTCCCTACATTTTCGACGAGACATATCTTTTGGGTGGAGGCTACGAGTCCCTGGTTGTGGAAAAAATTATGGATTCTAGGATAGTTACCAAGGTCATGGTGAGCACAGATGACGAAGTCATTATGAGAGCTAATAAACTCGAAGATACTCCTCAAGTCAACAATAATACCGAGGAAGGAATTGTTAAAGGAGCCACGAAAATTGAAAGCGTCGAACCTACCCCGGATAAAGGACACCAATGTTCTGAGATGATCCAAGTCGATTTCAGTATCGCCCCACCAGATGTGGATTCCGCTAAAGAAAATCGAGTTCCCGATATCTTATTAAACATAGATAATGATGATAAAGCTGCCTCGATCAATTTTATAAAATTGGAAGCGTATAAATCTACACTAGATACGAACGAGCGGGTAACTGAAGAGATCACGGATAAGTCTGTTACGATAGCCATCGAAGCAAAGATTGAAGAGGAATATCAGTTAATAACCACCGATACTAATAATATTGTTAACGAAAATGATGAGAATGAAAGCAACGTAGAAATACGCAGCCTTGATAAAGTTTCGCTTAAAGCGGGAAAAAATAAAGAAGCGGAAACGTTACTTACCAAAGGAAAAAGGGAAATAACGCGTCAGGTGGAAGAGTTTTACGTTAAATTCAAGTACTTCTCTTACCTTCATTGCCTATGGCTCGATGAAGACACCCTGTCTTTACTTGACAAACGAGGAGCTTCTAAGATTAAACGGTACAGGGCCAAAAGGAAAGAATTTGATTTGGATCTACCTGGCAATATAGGATATATGGACGTAATTATTATTTTTTAAATACGATTTTTTCGCTGAATTTTAATTTTAAATTTATTTAATTCTTAAATGATTTAAAAACTAAAAAATGGTTCATGATTTGAATATTTTGAAAAAAGCTGTTTATTTCTTGTTGGAGAAGATAAAAGAGCAAAAAAAACATAATTGATTTTTTATGATATGATTCTGCCTACAAATTACAATGAAAAATTGTGATACGTAGACTGAATATTATAATGTTCTATATCCATATTTTTCCATGGTTACATTTTTTGATAAGTCAATTCTTCAAGTACCGTATTCTTTCATATCAACTATGAAAGTATGGTTTAGAATTAGGGTTGTGCCGATCCACATATTTTTCACCAATCCGATCCGATATATTCTGATATTGGTTCAAAATCGATCCGATATTTATATTAATTTTTCACCACAACCCTTTGAATGTAATTAAGAAAACAATATTTTTATGCAAAAAATCGAATTATGCATTTAATTTAATTTTTTTATTTTTACAATAATTAAAAAAAGTTTACCGATATTGGTAGTATAAAATGAATTTTTCAGTATTCCTCCCCGTGAAATTAGAATTCCTAACGCATTTCGCAAAATTATCTTTGTCTTTTGTAAAATATTTCCGTAATTCAGATACCATATTTAAAAAAATTCTTTTATTTAAAGTATAAATATAAGAGAGTAAGTATAACAGTTTTAAAATTCTGCCGCGTTATTATTTAAAAAAATTTAAAATAAATAAAACTTTGGGTTTTCCTTTCTATTTTTATAAAAAAAAAACTTTCAAAATACTATAAATCTATTTAAAAAAATAAATAAAATTTAAGGGGTGTTGTGTATTTGCATTGTTTAAAACAAAATTATTTAGAAAATATTATTAATGTAAAATAAATATACATAAAATAAATAAAAAAGAAAAGTAAAAAGATCGAATCGATTTTTTACTGGTATCGGCCCGATCCGATATTTTTTAAAAACGCTAAATATCGGTTCTTCTATTTAAGAAAATTTATAGAGATGTACCATATCGATATAATTTTTTTATTGTATTAAATTACAAAAATATTTCAGATTAAAAATATTTTTTGATTGAATGCGGAAATATATTCGTTGCTTGTTGATAATCTATTCGAATTTTTATTAAAAAAAAATAAGCAAAGAAAGATAGAAAAATAATATTGATGAATAAAATTTTTTAAAAAAAGAAATAAATATTGTTAAATATTATTATTATTAGACAAAAACTTTTAAATCAAAGTTTAAATTGCTCTTCAAAAATAAAAAATGAAACTCCAAAAATTTATTTATTTATTTGGGATCAGGGATTTAAATCTATTCATCAATTGTAAAAGAAAATATGTTTCAAACCACATTTATAAATTATTGTTTTTTTTTTGGTGTTATATGTAAATGTTAAAAAAATAAATAAACAAAGTCAAAATTTAAATAAAAATTAATTTATTATTGAAATTTACGATAACAAACTAATGCGAGAATCATTTTTTTTTTGAAAAATCTTTTGACTTTGGACGAACCTAAATACTACCTGATTTTGTTTTCTAACCTCCCATCCTATTTCTTCGTAATTAATTACGAATTTTTATCGCCGATTTAGTAATTAATGTTGTCAAATTGGTCTGTCCAAGATAAAATTAGTAAAACTAGTTTTATAAATTAAAGATTAGTTCACAAATTCTGCTAGATAATTTTTAGTAAGTTAGGACGGTGTTATAATCATTGTTGGTATCGTTATTAGCTAAAAAAAATTAATACCGTTTTGACTCCGAATTACGAATAAAATGATTACCTGACAAGTTTGCAACGATACTTACTTAAATGGCTATAATTTTTCTCCCCAAAAATATTAATTAGCTCAACGAAGAAGTTTTCAACCAAGATTTCCTGGAGATCGAACGTGTGATGGCCGAAGACGTCTTCGACTATTCCTACTTCGAGAATTATTTGCCCTGCAATTATTATTATTACGAAGAAAATCTGGCCCTACCCAACGATCAAGAATTAGAAGAAAACGCGCAGCTCAAAAGTATCGATTCGGTCGTTAATAAGGTTATATTTTATTTTTATTCATTTCTTCTTCCTCCTTTTCTTTTATACAACGACAATCGATTTATCTGGCTTCATATATTTTTTTTAGAAAAAATGTGACATCGACTGATATTTATATTATTTTTAGCAATAATCTTCTAAGGTTTGGTTGGGAGTTTTAATTTACCATACCACGCACAAAAAAAATTAGAAATAAAGAGAGTTGTTAGGCATATAACCGAGTGTCCCGCTTTGACATTATGCCTTTCGCGAGATTCAAGAATTTTCGCATAATCGGAGAGATTGCAAATTTTATAGCCGCGTTTGATCGGCTTCGAAGGTAGGTAGATAAAATTTTTAAAAAAACCTATTTATATTTAAAGGTAAATCATCTGTGCAGTTATACAAGAAAGCCCAGGAGAGAAAATAATTTTAACTTTTTTAAAAAAAACAAAAGATCCATAAAATGGCGCGCCTTGTATAGTTTTATGGAACTCTTATACAAGCTAGTCCAGGAATCATATTATTATCGTTAGCATGGATGTTAGTAATTAATTACCTAAACCCACCGATAAATATTGGCTATCTATATATTCCTCATGGAAAACAAATCTGATATAAATCTTCACCCTGTTTACAAATTTTCTGAAAGATACCTTTTATATCTCCACGAATGTTGAGCCCAATAACTCGACAAATTACAAAGAGGAAATAATCATCAAACATTTAACATTTTAATCAACAATAAGTATAGTAAGGGGGGGGGGGGTTGTAAATATTTCATGATGACTGTATTTTGTCAATATCGTTGTCACTTCCATTATTTAAAATTCATTAAATTACCAGTCAATAATATTTCTGCCCTGTACTCGTAACGAGTGAATTTCATGAAATTTTATAGGCATTTTTTTTACGATAATAAAAATATTATGGTTATAATTTTAACCGCCCTACCATTCACGAAGATTGGAGAAGTGGGCATAGTTAAAGCCGAAGAAATCGCCAACGATATTCGACCTGCGCTGAACGGGAAGGAAGCAATTACGGCGAAAACGGAAGAAATTATAAACGATATTATTCATTCGCACCGCCCGATACCTCCACCGCTTATCAAATCAGAGGAGACATATGACAATGCCGAAACCGCGGAATTATCCATTCAAGAAACTAAAGGTAGCTCCAAAAACGAAGTTTACCAAGACCACCCATCCCGCGCCAATACAGGGGATCTCAAAGATAATAATAAGGTAGATGATAAATCTGCTGTGATAAAGAAAACCATGTCGCTCCTGGATCAAGAGATCGATGTAGCAGAACCCGAAATCGCAAAAATGGAAACTAATTACGAGTATGATAAAGATGAACATCGCCAACCCGGCGAAGTCATAAACAGCGATATCAAAACGGACGATATAATCCCCTCTTCATCTACTGATAATCCTGATCGGACTAAGGTAGCTCCTCCAATTTTCGCGGCTGAATCGAGAGAAGGTAAGATATACTTGGTGAAATGGAGATCAATGTGCTATGAGGATATAACTTGGGAGAGGGAGGAAAATGTGGATAAGGCAAAAATTATGGCCTTTAGGAGATGCCAGAGGGTTCCCAGAATATCCACCAAGGTAATTATTGACCATTTTTTTATTTTACACTTTTTATAGTCTTGTGTCAATATATTTAATCCAACTAATCTGATTTTTAAATTATAACATAGTCCGAAAAATATCGTCAAGGTTCTATTTTAAATTAATATTAGGCAAGTCTCGAAATTTGTTTAATAAATGTCCAAACATTTCATCTTATGAGCAAAATTTTAAGACTTACCTAATATTTTTTTGGCTAAAATATTGAGTTAGACGTTTTTTAAAATATCGCCGTTTAACAAAACTACTAACATTGTATCATTAATAAATTATTAACACCATACTTAGCATTATCATTCATCCATTTATTTAGTAAAAATATAAATAGCATAAATTTAAAATATTTTTCAAAATAAAAAAATCTGATGATTTTTTAAGATTAAGATATTTTTGAGAATGTTCAAATCCCCTAAATTTCCAAACTTTTTTGTAAAAAAATACATTAATAAAATCTTTTATGATTGAAATCACAATTAATTTTTTTTTAAAGAAAAATTTAAATCTTATTTTAAAAAAAATTTAATTTTACGATATTCAAAAATTTTTTTCTCAAAATTTTGTGGCAAAAAAATATTTATTTAAAAAAAAACAACTGATAAATAGTATATTCAAATTTAACCTAAATTTTTGAACAAAAAGAAGATACATTTAATCAAAGGAGAAATTATATTAATTTTTTTGAAATGTATTTAAAAAATTTTTTTAGCGTATACCCCGACCCGATCCATCCATGTGGAGGAAAATAGACGATACCATTGAATTCAAAAACGGAAACAAACTCAGAGATTATCAGCTAGAGGGCGTGAATTGGCTTTCTTTCTGTTGGTACAATCGGTAAAAAAAAATATTTGCATATATTATTTTATTACTTATTCGAAAACTAAAATTGTCGTATAGCATGGATAACGAATAGTTATTTAGGCCTCATTTTTAATAAACGCGATTTGTCTAAGCGATGCTATATTTAACGCTACGTTATTTACAATATCAGGATAATAAATAGATATGTTATAAATATGGAGCGAAACGGAAAACGATACGATTAAATTTGAGAAGCATATGTTGCGACCTATATTTAAAATTATTATAGCTGGGAATAATCAGCTGTGATTTCAATGGCATTAAATACCGCCCTGCTTGATTAAATCTCATTTTCTTTACATTAGATATATTTGAGTTAATTTATTTTAATAAAAACCATAACTTTTTATTATACATCTTCGCAAATGCCATGTCATTACATTATAAGTCCGACTCGAATTTGAGCAAATGAACACAGCCTGTAAATTTAATGTAATTTTTAGACCTGATATATTCGTGTTGACAAGTTAAATCGACATTAAACGATGTCTTACATTGCGTTCACAGTTAGCGCAAATTCGGGGGCGAAGTATAGAAAATATATAAATTTAATAATTTTACATTCATTTTTATATACTTCGTCGCGAATTCGCGCTAACTATGAATGCAGGGTTAGTTATAAAGTTATTCTGCTCTAGTCGTCATATTTATAAGATGCTAAGGAAGGTATAATATTTATTAAAAAAATTATTTTCATTTAGAACTGGTAAAGACCTCAAGGAGATAAAAAAAAATATATATTACCAATTCATTGGATATATCCCTTTTTTATTATTTTTATTATAAGGTTTGGGGGGATAAAAATGGTGTTGTAGGATTTTTTAAAAATATATAATTCCGATCATCTTCAACCCTTTGATTGACAAAAGCGAGTTCAGTCAACAGATTGGATTCCGAATCGTTTTTATTATTAATCACAAAAACTTTAATAATTTGCTACCCAATTCCCCCCCCCCATACAATATTAGACAAAATTGCATTCTCGCGGACGAGATGGGCCTAGGTAAAACGGTCCAATCGATTACCTTTCTCTTGGAAATGTACAAGGCCGGCATCAAAGGGCCTTACCTTATTTTGGCTCCCTTGTCGACCATAGCCAATTGGCAGAGGGAATTCGAGATGTGGGCTGATCTCAACGTTATCGTGTATCACGGCAGGTTAATACTCCATTATTTAAAATTTAAGTACAGTGTAAAATTTCGAGCAAAGATTGAGCTATAATTTGTTGTAGCAAGGGATAATTTTCCAATTGCAAATAATTCAACAGCACAGTTTATAATTTCTATTTTAATTTTATACTTTTAACATAATAAAGCTCTTCTAGCAGACAAATAGCTCAGGAGTACGAAATGTATTTCAGGGATTCCAAAGTAAGTATTTTACAAACATAATTAAATAATTTTATAACAGTTTAAACAAAAAAAAATTAACGATTTTGGAGGTTTTTCCTCCCAGAATCGAGTTATTTAACAGAAAAATATTAGACGAATCATTTTCTTCCCTTAATTTATATATCTTCATATTATACAGTAATTTTCTGTCTATTCGTTAAAATATTCTAGGCAGAAGTTGAAGATAAATATATAACCGCATTATCAGAAATAAATGAAAATGTAGATAATTTAATAAAAAAAATTTACTTATAATAAGGGATACCGTTTAGGCGATGTGTACAAGTTTCACGCACTCATTACTACATACGAAATTTTGATGCAGGATTGCGAGTTGCTCAAAAATATTTGGTGGAGGGTTAGTATAATCGACGAAGCCCACCGGCTCAAGAACGTTAAATGCAAACTCATGGAAGGGATCAAATCGCTTAAAATGGTTTTCCTACTTCCATTTTTTTAAAAGAATAATTTATAGCTTATTCTTTTCGTGTGCATACACTTGGATTTTAGTATCTAATCATTCATTTGAAGCATTACTTTTGTTCTCTTGTGGTAATTTAACATTGCATGGTTGGATTGGATCTTAGATGTCTTTTTTATTTGGATATTTATCATCGATACTTTAAGGCTAGAGATAAATTACGGAAATGTCATTCATTAATTTGATTAATAATTAACGTGAAGTTTAAAATCTTTATTTTGATATCTAAAGGATTACAATATGTTATATTTTTGATTATAAATATTTAAAATGTACATACCAATATCTATAAAAAAATTTTATAATGAATAGGAGCATCGTGTTTTATTGACGGGTACCCCTTTGCAAAACAACATTGAAGAGCTGTGGAGTCTTTTAAACTTTTTGGAACCTGTCAAGTTTGCTTCGTCTCAAAATTTCTTGGCTGAGTATGGTACGTTAGATACAGAAGAACAAGTCACGAAACTCCAGGATGTAAAAAATAAAAGCATTATAATTTGTGCATATTAGAGAATGTAAGTCATAATAGTAGATTTATGAATAAATGAAGGGAAAGGGAAATTAAATGTGAATCTTATAACAATAATTGAGCTTGATTATGCTTAAAATGTTAAGCATGATTAACAAATAATATTTGTATTTTAAAATTTTATACATATCAAGCTTCTAAGACCAATGATGCTGAGGAGGTTGAAAGAAGACGTCGAAAAAAGTTTAGCTCCCAAAGAAGAAACCATTATAGAGGTCATAAATTTATCATATCTATTATTATATAGTTTGCATATATATACCTTCGTGCCTTTGAAACCCGGACCATTTTGGTCTGAAAACAAATAAATGTTAGAAACCCTGTGCCGATTTCACGAATTAGTAGTGTATCTCGATCTAAAGTTTAAAAAAAATTATGCTTCTTCAGAATAAAATACATTTGGCAAACCACCCCCGATAGGAATGCAAATCCAGGCTAGATTTTAAAATGGCTATTTAAAAAAAAGGCTAGACCTCGGTCCATGGATTTAAATAATTAACTATGCAGGTCTTAGCTATTAAATCATATGAATAATTTTAAACTTATCTTATTCATTTCATCATGCTATGCTGCTAGGTCGAGTTGACCAACATACAAAAGAAATACTACAGGGCTATCCTCGAGAAAAATTTTGAGTATTTGGCCAAAGGGACAAGCTCGAGTTCCAACGTTCCAAATCTCATGAACGCCATGATGGAACTAAGGAAGTGCTGCATTCATCCTTACCTCATTAAAGGTACTTTTTCTTTAAATAATACCTATATTATGTATGTAAACATATTTTTTACTACTTATTTCTTTTGCAAATATCTTTCTTTTATTTCTTTCTTTCATTATGGATAAAAATTCTAGTTTTTATTATTTTTTTTAAATTTAATTTTTTAATATATATTATTCCACAGGTGCCGAAGATAAAATATTATCGGAAGAATCGCTTACTAATAATCCCCCAGGTGAGATCAAAGAGGAGAAATCCCGTCTCAATAACGCGATATCCGAAGAAACGGCGTTCAAACTCTTGGTCAACTCATCCGGAAAATTGGTTCTGATAGACAAGCTTTTGCCAAAGCTAAAGGCTAATGGCCACAAGGTCCTCATATTTTCCCAGATGGTCAGGTGTTTGGATCTCCTTGAGGATTACCTTATCTATAAAAGGTATAATAAATCATTACAAATCTATACTCTTTAAAAGATTATATTACATATATTTTTTTGTATATTATATTAGTTAATCATCGCCATTTTAGCTTAAAAATGTTCAAAATAACAGCTATACTAGTGTTGTTAAAAAGCCAATCGACCCAATTAATATTTTAGCTAAAATAATATTATGTAAGCATTGAGATTAATGTGGTTAAACGGCTCATTTTCAGCCGTGTTTTAAAACAACTAGCTCAATATTTTAGCCAAAAAAATTATGCCTAAGCCTCGAGATTTCGTTAATATATGTTAGACCTTTGTTCCTTCTATGAGCAAAATCTTCATACTTGCGTAATATTTTTCTGGATGGAATATTAAGTTAGCCGTTTTTAAAAATCGACTCAAAACGAGCCGTTTAACAACACTAATTGAGATTGTAGATGTCCAATCATTTCTGCCAGCTATGTGCAGAATCTTTAGGCTTACATAATGTTATTTTAATTATAATATAATCTTAATCGGGGCCGTTTTTTAAAATCGTTCCCAATCGGAGTTTTAACAACACTACAGAGAGAATCCAATCTTATTTTATTGTGTAAGAATGCTTCTCATAAATTCGAATGAAATGTATTTTTAATATTTATCATATATTTTTTTTAAATAATAATTCTTGCCTATTTTAAAAAATGAAAAATATTTATGGACGATTCAATATCTAAATATTTGTAAGGTTTTCTTCCAAGAAATGAAAATAATTGTGATTGATTTTATTTCTACACCTGTTTATTGATTGGTTTTTTTCCTTTGAATATTTTAATCTAATAGGTACCCATTCGAACGCCTAGACGGTCGCATCCGAGGCGATTTAAGACAGGCTGCTATCGATAGATTCTGCAAGAAAGACAGCGATAGGTATTTGGGAGCTATTTTTTTTTGTTTTCAAAATAAAATTATGATTCGTTTTTTAAAAACATTTTGAATGGACATTATTTTATGATATATTTCTCAAAAAAAAAATTCATTTTAAGGTCGTTCCCATTTGTAATTCATTGTATTTATAACTAACTACATTACAAGAATTTTTAATAATTTAAACTATAGAAATTTGTGTATAGGAATCATTTTGTATAGAAATCTTAAATTTTAAAGCATAAAAGATTGTTTATTTTTTCTATAATATTTAAAATGGGGACAATGAATGCGAAGATAGGTTATTAAAACGCTTTAAAAATTTGATTCCTTTTATTGTTTTTTCCCCCCGGATTTATCCCATTTTATTAATATTTTGTTCTATCTCCAACTATTTATTGGATATTATTAATCGTAATATTTTTTTGTATTCAAAAAGTATATATATATTTTTTTAATGGCCTTCACATTCAAAATTTTTTTTAATACCCAAGATTCGTATTCTTACTATGCACCAGAGCCGGAGGGCTAGGCATTAACCTGACAGCGGCCGATACTTGCGTTATATTTGACTCTGATTGGAACCCTCAAAACGATCTCCAAGCTCAAGCCAGATGCCATAGGATTGGTTTCGATTTATATATAAATATTATATTTTTATTTGGGTAACTTCATTTCCATTTGATTAAAATATATTAGACTCTTTATTATTTAACGCTCCTTATTTCCATATTTTTATAAAAAATTTATATTTAGCCCCAATTTCGCTCTTTAATTTCATTAATGGTTGTCATCCTCTTACCACTTTCTCCCTACATCATATTCAACATTTAACTAAGAATCTACCAAAATTATTTTAATTGCTTCTTTTATCTAATGGGCCATAATTGGGCAAAGGCTAAAAAAATCGGCTATATGAGATTGATCCATAGGCTCGTGCTCATTGACTTATTTTTTTTTTCTTAAATAAGCTATATTTTCAAGAAAATATCCGTTAGGATCTATTTTAGTCCGCCTCAAATTGGCTAAAATGGCTATAAAAAGTTCCCAACTAATCGAGATCATCTTGCGAATATTATTCACCATTATATTTACATATTTGGGGAAAATAAAATTGTAAAGGTCAATCCAAACGCGTGCAAATATACCGCTTGATCTGTCGAAACACTTACGAAAGGGAGATGTTTGATCGGGCCGGGAAGAAACTCGGGCTCGACAAAGCCGTTCTTCAGTCGATGAGGATGAATTCCGCCGGTGGTACCGAGAATAACGTGGAAGGTGGCAAAGATTTCCCGGGAGGACTTAGCAAAGTTTCTCCCTTCAATCAGAAATTATTTTTAATTGATATATATTTTTAGAGAGCATTTTGAATTTTTATAAATCTTGATATGAAAGAAATTAGGAAGATATAAAATCCTCCCTAACACGAATAAACGTGATTCAATCTCTACTCCTTTTTTGTATTTACTTAATGAAGGTAAACGGTTGGGTCTAATAGCACTACAAATTAACGCGATTATAATTTAACCTTACATAGATGCTTAAGCAGGGGCCATATGGTAGTTGAGGCTTTATAGGGTTGAAATTAAAAATATTCTTGAAACGAAAATAAGTTATTCGAGTGGGATCATTTTTTTTTGTGTATACATTTTAATTTATTTGGCAATATATTACCATATAAATTAATTATTTAAAGAGTAATAAATAGAAAATTTTTAGGATCCGCTAAGCATTTAAGTCATTTTAAAGCCCAGTCTGGGTTTTAAGGAATGGCCAGTCCTGGGGATCTTTAAACCAAGACCTAGAATGTTTAGAGATCAATAAAATTGAAATATCGAATTTTGAATGCTGATGTATTATTTAAAAATTTTGCACTACGAAAGGGTATTAGCAGCATCAACCAACTATCCAAAAAGGAAATCGAGGATCTACTCAAAAAAGGGGCTTACGGTGCCTTGATGGACGATGATCAAGCTGGGGACAAATTTTGTGAGGAGGACATAGAACAGATACTGTCTCGTAGAACTCAAGTCGTCGTGTTAGACGAAGCCAGTGCCCTGAACACGGGGGAGGACGCTGCAGATGGGACGAAGGAAGGGGAGAGGAAAAATTACTCATCCACTTTTGCAAAGGTAAAAAATATTTTTGTATTATGTCCCTTTTTGGGGCAAGGAACCAAACAAAAATAAAAGATCACGAGGCTTCTGTTTCGTGGTTAATAGAAGGCATTGATAGCATTCAAAATCCTATTTTGTAAGTATTGTAAACGCCAGTTTATGATGTTGTAGTAAGTAGCATCTCATAGAATATAATTTACTCAGTGACTAGGAAGCGAGTCGATAAAACATACCATCTCAGTTCCTAGGAGACACGTGACATATTAAACTATGAAGTCAATAAAACAAACAAGATAGTTATTTGTAATCTTTAATATTTTTGTGAATTTTTTAACTTAGTTTTTCCTTCGGACATTTTAATATTTATTAGCAAACACGGGCTGGAAAATAATTTTTTTAAATGGATGCCTGGGCTCTAGATAAGTTGGTTGACCTGTAATTATAACTTTAATTTAGAGAATATGTGAAAAGTATAAACAACACCTTTTTCTTTCGTGAGTTAATTTTCTTATATTTATCCCCAAAAATCTCTAAGTTAATGTTAGAGAAGGTAAATATTTAAATAAAGAAGGATAGAAAGAAAGAGAGAAAAAACATAAAGCTTAGATTAAAATTTTTTAAAAAATTGCTAAAAAATGGGGGAAATTTTAAATATTCTCAATTTAAATTATATATATATATATTAACCTGACAGGTGCAATATTTATTAAAACACCTGGGTCGATTTATCTTAAATATAACTTGATCTACTAATTTTTGTAAAAAAGAATAATTTATTCGACTCGCGAAACTAGAGTATATAGCAAAAGATAAATTATGGCTTTTATATTTTCTTTTCAATATGAATTTAGGCTAGTTTTACGGCTGCTGGAAATAGGAGCGATATTGATATAGACGATCCCAACTTTTGGCAAAAATGGGCCGAAAAGGCGGACATTGACGTCGACAAAATTCAAAATAAGGTTTGTTTTTTTTAAACAAAAAAAAAGACCAATAATTTAACTGTATGGATGTTAATATTAACCATAATTTTTTTTGAGGGGTTATTTCGAGATATATAACAGTTTTAACATTCGCTAAATTTTATTATAAGAAAATCATAGATACATATTCATAATATAATAATGCATCTAGTGAAGGTAAGCCAGAACTAGGGAAAACTGCTTCACAATCCCAAAATTTTATCAAATATTTTTGCCGCCAAAATAACTAATTTCTATCGAGTTTTTAAATTCGATTTGAAAGCAGGCAGCAAAGTATTTTTTGTTATTTTTTTCGGATTGTGGATCGGTTTGATCCGGTCCGGTTGATATTCGGTAAATACGTCTCTTCCTTTTCTAAAGAATATTAATTCAAAATCCGATTGCTCAAAATCGGATACAATATAGAACGAATATTTTTTAGGTGAAACTTCTAACCTAAAATATTAAATATATAAAATTTTTTAAAACTTCCCCAGAAAAACAAATCCATATCGTTCGCTATCCTCGACCTTGAAGAGGAGGATGAATTCATAGAAGGGGATACTGAGTCTATGCTGAAGAGATGTTTTCAACAAAGGCGATCGAGAAGACAGACTGCCAAGTATGGTAGGGGAGATGCCGCCTTGCTAGAGCCGAATGGTGAGGACCGATTTGGTGATTCCGGAAGCGCCAAAGGTTTAATGAATGAATGAATTATTTTTATAAGAAAACTAAATTTTCTCCACCTATAAGTGATAGTTTATCCTTTTTTTTTTATCCATGCTTATAATCTTTATTTTTGTTTCCTTTAAAGGTAAAGCGGATAAAGTCGACGATTACTATTATTACAACCACTTATCCGAGGACAAGAAAAAGTCGGGAAAATTCAAAAAGAACAAAAAAGGTGCGGGAATAAAAAGAAATTGTTGTTCACTATATATTGTCGTATTCATATCTTATCATTTTAGAATAAATTAGCAGATAGCCCATCAAAAGAATGACTGGTTAATCATGAATTTTTCCTTTACTTTTTATAGTATGAATAAGAAATGTGGCTATATTTTGATGAGAGGGGGATTTAAAAATTTCTCGTTATTTTTATCGAGTAGGATAGCAAAATATATATTTAGTACATAAATTATTTGGATGGAATTCATTTATAAATCTTATTATTATTAAGATATCAATTTCATGATATCAAAAAAGAAAAATTTATTTTACATACCTAATAAAGAATCTTACCAAACTACATTTTACTTTAAACATTTGAATTTGTAATTTATTATCTAAAAATAATTAATCTTGCCAGGTAAGGATTTTGAAGGGCAATAAAAAAAATCAAAAATAATATATGCAAAACCCTCACTAGTAAAAGGATAATTTATAAATCATAAATTAAAAAATAATGTTTTTAGAAAAATGCAAAAAAAAATTTTTTTTATTTATATGTAATGAATCTTTTTTTGAGACATTATGGAATTGATATCGTAAAAATAATATTATTTATAAATATCTTATAAATAATTTCCATATAAATTGAAAGAATTAAATATATATTATACTTTGCTAATATGGACCTCATAAAATAAACAAATTTTTGAATAACCCCTCATTCTTTGACATATTTGCTGGCATAATATTAGATGATAATTCATGATATTTATTAAATTTTAATCAAAAATTTATATTCAAATCAAATAATTATTCTAAGTATTAGCTATAAAATTAACAAAAAATAAATAAAAGTAAGTCTATAAATCCTGATGGAATTGGTTATTTAAAATAAATTAATTTCCATTATGTCATGCAAGGCAAACCCGGTAAGCTCCTCAGACAACAGATTGGATTTTCCACTCGTTCCAAAGCCGGAGGCCGGTTTTCCGAAGATACCGGTTCGGTTTCCGATTTTGAATTGAACGACGAGCTAACTAACGAAACAACGAGGAGGGATATGCGTGGGCTAGAGGAGGACGATGAAATGGAAGAGGAAATGGATGGAAGCGATTCAGAATTCAAGGTGGCTAATGAACCTAGACTTTTAGCTGCCGCGGGTATGCCTATGGAGATTATCGCCACTGCCTGTGGTAAGAAGAAGAGACGATTTAAAGGAGGGGTCGGCGGAAGGATCAAAGGAAGCGGCGGCAAGATCAAAGTAGGAGGTAGTATCCACGGTAGGGATAAAAAGAAATTTGAAAATACTGTCAACGTGACCGATGGAGATGATAACAACGGTATTTACTTGAGTAGTTTTTTTATAAAAAATTCATATCTAATTGATAAACTATAGAGGTAAATGAAGACTACATTATATTAAAAGAATTTTAGTGGCTTTTTAATTCCCAAAAATGAGATTATTGTTCTATATTCTAAACTCATAAAAAAAATTATTTAACATATATTTTGCATATTTTACAAAAAATTCGTCTGATTTTATTAGATGAAAAAGATATATCGTTTACATCTCTAGTTAATTTATTCTAAATACTTTTTTAAAAAAAAGATTTATAATAAAAGTAATAATATTAATTAATGAATGATACTAATAATATTGTTACTAAATAAACGAAATTTTTTTGAATGATCTAGATATTATATTTCTAGTTATGAGAAAGAAAAAATAAATTGAATTAAAATTTTCATAATTTTTTTTCGACGGTTAGATAACTCCCCATCTACATTCTTTTCGCGTTTCATGATTTTTCCCAAATTTCCATTGAGCATGCCTGGAAGGTTCCGTGCTATGTCCCATCTTTGATGATTATCTTATCACTTATATAAATATTCTAATTTTCTTTATGGGGTAACGATGATCAGAACAATATTCTGATCCTCTTGCGCTAATTCATAGCCGTTCGATTTTATATATATATAAAATGAAGTTTTCACCTTGTTACATCGCCATATATTGAAATACCCAACATGTCTCTTATAATATTTGCAAAACTTGATATCTCCGTTTTGTACAAACGTTATTTTAACAGCCAAAAATATTTTTGTAAAATTAAAAATAAAAAGCGAGCCAAAAGGTAGAAGAAGATTTTTCCGAAGCAGACGACGGTTCCGAAACTCGATGCGATTGGTCTGATGAAGGTGCATGCGCCGAAGTCGATCTGAGCACGCGTAGATGGGGTAGGGCTATTTGTTTCAGGGCCGAAAAGGGACTAACTACTTATGGGTAATTGTTTTTAAAATATGTTACCACTCAAATGACCACTTTTCATGTCACAGAAAATTTCTATATCATTTTTTATTTCCAATGAAAAATCTACATTTTAGTTCTTATTTCATTTTCTTTATATTTAATAATCAACAATATCATATAAAATATATGTTCTTATTTTTAAAAAAAAAGCTGGGCCAGATGGGATGATATATTGAGAGACGATTTTGGCGTAGAACGAAGTTCCCTACCACCTTCAAATCAACAAGACGATATATCAGATAATACCCAGCTAATTTCCAAGAATGAACTAATGGATTCTCCTCCAAAAACAGTTTCACCTGAAGGAACTCCAGCCATCATAATCAAGCAGATCGGCGACGAGGAAGCGTTAACCGTGACAGAATTACCCGCGGATAATAAAAAAATAGAAAATATAGGTGAAGTTAACGAGGTTAAAAAGGATAAAGCTTTACTATCTTCCAGAGGGATGAACCAAGCTAAACTCGAAGCACTTTGCCGATTACTCATATTGCATTGCCTAAAGCACTACAGGGGCGATAGAAACATAAAGTCTTTTATGTGGGAACTTATAGACCCCCTGCAACATAGGAGGGTAATAGAGGCTCAAAAGTTATCCGAAATTGAAACATCCAATATTAACGACGTTAGAGAGGAAGATACTTTCAAAGGTGGCAGTGGGGGTGGGCACAAGTTCAAGAATCATTCAGGTAATTATGGTTTATTTATGAAGTGACCTATAAAGTTGTTCATTTACGCCTACTAGGGTTTAGACCTGTTTTTTTTTTCAAATTTGATTTTTGCCACTCGTTGGCCACTTTATTATTTTTTTAAATTTATTTTTGGCCTGTCTAAAATTTCGAAAAATTGATTTTAATTCGGGCCTATATGTCTCTGTTATGTAGCATAATAGATTCTAACTATTAATTTTTTTTATATCGCTTAAGTTATTTTTATTTAGTCTCTCACTGATATAAACTCTTTTTTTAATTCATTTTTTTTAAACTGAAATCTAAAAATGCATATTCTGACACCTTTTTTTAATTTAGGTCTGTCAGCCCCTGTCCCTCGAGGCAGAAAGGGCAAAAAGAAACCTCTAATCACGTCGATGATTTCTTCAGAAATAACCAGTTCAGACCTCGATCAAATTATCCCGTCCGATGGCCAATCTTCTCCTCTCCCTCTTGAAGCCGAGTGGAGTTCAAACTTTGATACCGAAAAGCTTCTAATCGACCTTGGTTATCGACGCCATTTACAGAGACATGCTAATAAGTGATGGATAATATATTAATATGTCTATTTTAAGTGAATATTTTAAGATCATCTTCTCTTGATTTCATCAAGCTATTATACTCCTTAATACTTTTATCTTGTTAGCAATTAACTCTTTATTATAACATTTAAGAACAGTCTTTTTCTTTCTCTTCTATCTTTGCGGGGACGGCCCCATATTAGTAAGGTTAAAAACAAAATAGATATTGCCGACAAACAACCAATATAGTAACACATAAAATAAAATAATTAGAATACTTCTACGGGTTCGGATGCTTTACTACCTGCGTAGCGAAATAATTGGTGACGTGGGCGAGGACATTTTGAGTGGCCGAGGGCCCGATATATCTAAGCTGAGCATTCAATTACCATCCTTCGTAGATCCCGAAATACCCGCTCCTTGGTGGAACGCGCAGGCCGATAAATCTCTGCTTGTCGGAGTTTTTAAACACGGTATATACATGCACTATTGAAAAATAACATTTTTTTCTGTGTACTGCTCACTTTAAAGTTTTGTATAAAAATATAATATTTACCTTACTTCTAAAACTGATTTACTTTTCATAAGCAAGAAAGAAAAAGAAACGGAATTATATCTTACATTATCGCTTACGTAGCGAATCGGCTTTTGTACTAGCAAAATTGTTGGAAGAAGGTTGTCATGTATATAAGTTTTTGCACTTGATTTATATAATCGCCAGATAAATGAATAATACCCTAGCTAAAAGCTTGGTCAGTCATTTTTCTCGAAGGTTATTTTTTTTAAAAAAGTAAAGTGTGCTAATTATGATTTTTTTAAAATGAATTCACAACATCATCCCCCAAGGTTACGAGAAATATGAAGAGATGCGGCTCGATCCATATCTATCCTTCCCCTCGTTATTCTTACCTAACAATGGTAGCGATCTACCTTCCCTTCCAGTATCAACGCCTCCCATAATCGACGACTGCCAAAAAGCGTTGAGAAGTTCGGTCAAAATTGTCGCCAGCGAAACGGTGGATTCTCAAGCCCAAGAACAAGGAATCCCAGAGGAAAAACATCCTCTTGCTAAAAAGACCCAATTGGACGTTGGAATTGATTCTGGAACGACTAAGATGGTTGTCGAGGCGGAAAACGGTGAATCAGAGAATAAGGATATGAGCGGGAGATGGCCCATCCCTTCAGCCCTGACCTCTAGGTTCAGGAGAATCATAACGGCTTATCAACGGGCTCACAAGAAGTTGCTGATGAAATTTGAGAAGGTTTTTTTTAGTTGTTTTGGATATCAAATTAAATTTTGGTTTTTTAAAATTCAGCTTTAGATATTATTTTTTTGATATTTTTTGTTTCTCAAAATGAGATATTTTTACTTAATAAAAAAAAAAAAATTAAAAGAACAACGAAAAACGCGAAAGACTGTTGAAAGAACAAATGTCGTTCAAAACGGAAGAATCTCCGTCTGACCCTAAAGCTTTGTTTACTTCTCGAATACTTGCGCGGGCCGTATCCCGTTTGGAAGTATTTGCACCCTCTCGCTCATCTAATAATACCTTATCAAGGTTTGTCCGTAAATAATGTCTTCAGAATCACTTAAATATATTATAAATAATTATTTATATTTTTTGATTATTTTTCGCTGAAGGGTTAGGGGGTAAGGAAATATTCGGCGAAAAGTTTAAGAATTAGTTTAATTTTAAAAATTAACTTTTAATTTATTTGATATATAGAAAATTTGCATTGTCCTAGTAATATTTGTAAAAAAAAATGTATTTAGCCGCATCATTATTAACAATTTAGATTTTAAAAAGATATTTTGGCATTAAAAATAATTTTGGTTTTAAAATAAATTGTTTACTTAAATCCATCCTTTTAAATTAAACAACAGACTAGGCTGCGATTGGTCTGCTAGGGACCAATCAGAATTTCTAGCCGTTTTGATGGACACTGGCGTGCTGGCCAATCGTGAGGACGCATCTAATGCTCACACTTCAAGACGTACAAATAGTGCTGGTGCAGATAACGAAGAGAACATGCTACTGTCTTGTTACGAAGCTGTTTTTGATTGGTCTGTTTACAGAAGGTATAATATATTTATATTTGGGCATTCGATTTTGGACTGGCCCCTGTATTTCTTAAGAACTTATAAATAGTAAAAAATAAATCATTATAATTTTTTAGGAATATTTTTCCCAAGTTAATTTTAAATTATCAAAATATCAATCATAGGTTTCACGGGTCCGCCTTCTCAAGAAAGGCCGACGCCCATTTGGAAGAATTTTTTGTTTCCGCTTACGCTAATTCCGTCAAGACTCTGGGATTACAACTCACTTCCTTTGAAGGTCATTTTTTCTCCCCTATTACCATCTAAATTAATATTGATTTTACCTATATAATTTGATGTTTTTCATATGACTTCACCTAACATAATTTAACAAAACAACTCCAAAAAAATTTGCGCAGAACGTGCCTTGAAATTCTGTCCGGATCTTAACTTAAACCCCGAAATAGCCTGCCAGTTTCTGGACTCCGTGGATTTGCTTAACTGCGTGAGGGTCGAGCTTCTCTCTCATCACCCGTCACTTGATAAGGCTATTTCGGCGCTCCCTAGAGGCCCTAGCGCTTTCGCGAAAGATCTTTTTCCCCAAGATTCTGCCGAGAGATCACCCGAGAAAGCCAATGATAACAATAGGGCTGATAAATTTATGGCTGAACAGATGCCCCTATGGTGGGACAATGAGATCTTCGACAGAGAGATGCTGATCGGGGTAGCTTGGTAAACAATATAGATTTTATTATATATTTTTGAATGATGGTTTTATCGGTACATTTTTTCCAATAATACATGTTACTCGCTCAGATTTCTAAGAGCTTAACTTAGACAATTCGCGATGGGCGGGGTCCTTTTTTTTGTGTGAGAAGATTTGGAAAATAATAATATTTTGCTTTTTTTTAAACACTTTAAATCAAACTCGTTCAAATATAGGAAGTTCCTTGTTATCATTTATTTATTATTATTAATTAGGTAAATAATATGCTTCAAATTCAAATAATTTATATATAAAGATTGATATGCCAATAAAACATACCACTAAATCTCACATTAAAAACTAAGATTATTATTTTATCTTCTTTCGAAAAGTTTTTAGAATAAAAGAATCTGTAACAAACGCATTTAAGTGTTCCGGTTTTCTTTTTTATTGACTAAGACATATTTGTGTTTACTAAGATCAATCCATAACTATCTTATTTTGGAAAATCATTTTACTTTCTTTCATTATATAATCAATCAGTCACGGACTTGGGAACGTGGCCGAAACCATTTTTTCCAACCCGGCCTTTTCCTTTGCCGACATGATGAAGAAACGCAGGAATATCAGGGATAAAAATAACTCCGCGATCAATTCCGTGGCGCTCACCATCAAGCAGCTATTGGATAAGGTCTCCATTAATGTTCACGAGCAAGGAGCTCAGGTTAGTTCTCCGATGAATGATTAACTACTCATGTCACGTTTAAACTCACTATTTTTTCCCTATACGCTAAGGCCTTCCTTTTTCATACATTAACACATTGTTTTAAGGTTATTATAATAGAAAGTATAATGCTCTATGTGAAGTGAATGACCTTACCGCAAAAAATTTTGTAATAGTGACCATGTACATATTAACTACCCCATTTTTAAAGTTGTCATCTTTGTGTTACTTCTTAGTTCATAATGTCGATATCAATCACGAAATCCTAAATTTTAGAATTATTTAAATACTCTTAATATTACCTATTTATGATTGTTTTAAACATTTAAAGCAGATATCTGAAATGGACGCCATCCCAAACTTGGATAAATTTATGGCCACGTTACAACAGCAGAAATGCGACAAAATGGATAAGTTTCCTCAAGTATTTATATCATTTTTTTAAAAATGATAACCACTATTAGTATTATTATAAAGTCATTGAGAATAATCTACTAAATTATAATAACATATTATTGATGCATTTAAAATGATCAATAATTCTTGGACTTTAGAAAAACAAGGCCGGACAAAAGGGGTCTGGGGAGGGGGAAGACCCCCAGGCTTTGATATATATGCACTCCCTCTAAGGAAAATTCCTAGCTACGCCACTGCCACTATCATTGTGACCATTGAAATTATGATAAATGGATAATATTCCTTGATTGCGAATGTTATTTTGTTATTGCATATCAAATTTTCTCTTAATGCCTCATATCTCCACTCAATTAATTTCATTTACAACGAATTTAGCCTAAAAATGAACACTTTTGCTAATATTCTAAAAAAAAATTAACACAAAAGAAAATCAACATATTAAAATTCGATTTTGATTCATGAATTGTGTTGTTAATGCTTAGTCGTAAAATTTAAAATTTACGACCCAATTTGTTGCCTGGGCCTGCTCTGAGTACTAACCTGGGGCATATTTTATGGTTATGTATTAATCGATAGTTATCATATGAGATATATCAATTTTTTATTTAAACTCCCCCCCCCCCCCAAGGTCGTATCATATTAAGATAAAGTGAATGAAATACTATTTTATTATCCTAATGAAAAGATATTTCAATTAGCTGTTATTTGATGCCCATCATATCAATATTTGAGGCTGGTAAAATTATTCCTGGCCCCTTTAATAATAGCTTCGTCCATAGAGAAAAAGCGCTTGATCTCTTATTCAATAGTTCTTATCGATTAAAACCATATATGATCAAGAAAAAACAACTTAAGATATATGGGTTTGTGTTACATGTCTGTGGCGGGGTTCTTGCTCAGAGCTGGTTTAGCCTATTTTTAGACCCAACTACTTGGTCGTTTTATACAACTAACCATTTAACAACACTACCCATGAGGCATAAACAGAACCATTTTAAAATCTTTAACCAACCGATTCAATGTGGGAAAATTTGTGCTATCAATTTTAGACCTCTGATTGATTCCCTATTTATTACTAATTAAAACAATTTATACGAAACCTATACTCATAAATTAGACCTCGGCAATTGTTCAAAGATTAAGATCAATTTGTGATGCCGTATTTGGAAGACAAAATTGGATGCGGAGAGAAAGAAAGATTGAAAATGCTCTTCCTGATACGAAGCCTTCCAAACTTCCCAAACCATTCGAGGTCTACTATTTTTTATTTTTTTGCAATATATGATTTTTTTTTAAAAAAAAATTATATAATTGCAAATCCCACAAAAGATAAGTGAAATCAATAGCCAGGTCTTAATTTGGTCTAATTCTCAAGCGCCTGATCTTGGTTCCTGATCTTCACTATATAAAGGGGAATTTAAAATCTTATTAGTATTTTTGCATTTAATTATTAGTGGTTGTTAAAGGTTACTTTTGAAAAATAACTAGTTCTTAAAAAGGTAAATAAGATTATAAGTTACTTAATAAATTATTTATATAACTCAATCATTTTTTATACAAAATATTTTTTTATGATTTAAAAAAACATTGAAAATAATTGCACTAAAAAAACCACAAATATAATATTTATTTGCGCTGAAAGAATATATCGCAATATAATATTTATTTTTCGTAAAAATTTAGGCTTAATAAATATTTATTCGACTTTAATTATAAACTATTTTCCAAATTGGGATATAAAAGGATGGCTAGTTTTTCTCTAAAAATAGGCTTCCCTAGGCCAGAAATTTTTTTTTATAGGAGCGTTTTGGTTAATATAAATGAGGAGACATAGTCATTTTAAATTTGAGAAATCATCATATAAAGATAATAAATGATATGCATATTATATTAAACATATTTTTTAACTTAAAAGTAACTAGTTACTTTTATAGTTACTATAACAAAGCTGTTATGCATAAGACTCCTATATACTTTATTTAATATCATCTTTTTTTTTGAACACCAAGGAACTAAAGTCTTTAGATCCTCTGGCCAAAAAGGATGACAAATTGAACATACCACCTTCTCCCGTAGTTAACAAACGTAGGCGAATTAAGAAAGACGATTTGTTGGCTCAAAAGGTTCAAATGTTCAAAGCCGCCGTCTCGAAAAGGGGAGGAGCTGCTTTCAATGCCAATAATAATGGTTCCGATCACGCAACACCTGATAGAAATTTCGGCAAAATTAATCCACCGGGTTTTGATTTTTACTTTACTTGTAAAGAGTTGGTTTTTTTTTTGGACATTAAATTTTAGAATTTCAGCTTTTATATCCTGGTTTATATAGCTAGTACAGAATAATCTCATTTATTATATTCCCATTCAAAAGTCCGATTAAATAAAGAAAAAGTTTCATCAAAAAAAATATAGAGAATCAAAAAATGAAAAGTCCCAGTAGAAATGGAAAAATCCTATTCAAGGAAAACTTTTTGGACCTCTCTTATAGTGCAACCTAATTAAGCGTTTCTTTATGGAAAACGCAAACAATACATTTCAAATTTATAAAAACGCAAATTTTTTTTTCGAGAACGCTCAATTAGGTCGCGCTATTATGTTATTTTTAATCAATATTTATCATATTTTTAAATTTATTTCCCTTGTCATCATTCCTACATTTTTTTTTTCACTCTTTCACATTTTTTTACTATAAAATTTTGCCATATAGACCACATCTGAATCCAACAGAAAATGTGTTTTTTTAATGGAAATATCAGAATTCAAAATTCTAATAATTTTGACACTTTCATATAATTGATTCATTTTCTTTTTTGATTTGACTCTTTTCCTTTTCTGTTTAAATTTTTTCCTTTTTTGAATGATATTTTCCGGTAACTTATTAAATTTTTTTGTTTATTTTAAAAAAAAAGATACTGGCGATAAACCTTTCTTGCCCATGCCCCTACTCTCCTCAATCTTCCCTGGTTCTTCTAACTCCAGCAATCAACAACATAATCCAACAATCTCGGCCAGAACTCTTAGAAATAATTCTAGGGCAAAAGTACTCATTTATTATGCCTTTCCACTTTTAACCTAGGATTTTACTAGGATCTATTTTAAAATACTTCGCGTATTTTGAACCGTAATGCCCCCTTCATTCCCTCTTTTTTTTCTCGAAATATTAAAAAAAAATGGTTGTTACATTTTTAAGGAATGAAATATCATGATAGGAAAATATATATATATTTATTAAGGAATTAAAGTTTAAAAAGAAATGAATGTTAATAATTTTTAATTTCAATTTTATGATATAAAACAACGAATTTTCAAGAGTGAGTATTCATTTCAATTTTAAAAATATTAATTTATTCAAATGAATTATTTTACACCTTCAGGAGCAAAAAAATTAAAAAAATATAATGGCACTAATTTTTTTTAAAAAAAATAAATAATTGATTAATTTTTCATATATATAGACCAATCAAAATATAAATTACGCCGAGTTGGAGGAAGAAGAAGAGGCAGCTTGCCTATTGGATTACCAAGAGAAGATGCAAAAGTTTTTGTTCGAAAAATTTGGTCCTTTTGAACCCCCTAAATCCCGCGGTTCGGGAGGGAAGAAAAAAAATGGTTTTATTAATTTGAAATTTATATATTTTTTAAACACATCTCATCCCCTTACTCTTATTAATGAGAGTAGTTAATTTCATGGTCGTCTCAAACTAAGGTAAATAAACACCCTTTTTTGTCGCAATAGTTGTGAATTCAAATATATAATTTTTTTAGGTATAACATAATATCTTATGTTTGACTTGGTCTGAGTCGGGTCTACACACCATATTTGCAAAAATAAATAAACATAACATAAATAACCCTCTGGTGACCTTTAAAAAAATCAATCTCTTTTTTATTGACCGTGACCAACTTATGGACCTCTTAAATCCCAGTTTTTTTTCATTATTTATATTTTTTAAATCAAATCAAGTTTATCCATATTAACTCGACTAATAAACCATCCTAATTATACAGACAATTTCCCTCCGGAAAATTTCCTACCCCCTTTTCCGTTCTTACCTATGCCCCCATTGCCCCGTGGTTTACCTATCCCTCCGAATTCATCTTCTGGATCTCACCCCGAATCGGCTAGAGAAGCGGCCGCTTTCCTTGAGATGCTTTTAGCGGCAGCCAAATCCGACAACGTGAATTATAATGCACCCGCAACTGCCAAGGTTTGGAATTTACTTTTTATTAATTCATTTTTTTAAAAAAAAATATTAAATGGGAAAAACCTGATAAATGCAAATTTTAAATTTTTATTTATTTTAAAAACACTTAATTTATATAATATGTGTATACTACTTTTTTGAAAAAGAAATTACGCGATGAACTAACGGCGTCTAGTCCATACGAATCAGAATCAGCTCTCGATCTTTCCAAAAATCTTTTCAGAAATTTAACTCCTAACTCTAGAACTCATTCATCCCCATTGGTAAATTTATTAAAACCCCATTTCTTAAATATTCTTTTTAAAGAATCTCTCTTTTTTAAAAAAAAGGGGTTTAAAGATTTATTTAAAGTGCGAAATTTTGAAACATTTATCAAAATATTATTTAAAAATAATATGTATAAATGAACCATATTATCCTAAAAATTGGAATTTCGCTCTCCTTGGCATAAAAGAAAGTTTAACCGAAGGACTCATCTTCATATTAATTGTTAATTTGTAGATTTTAAACATGAAATCTAAATATCTTTCTCTATTAATAATAAAACACATAATCAATACTTTTTATAACAAGCTGGTGATTTTTTGTAACTTTTATTGTTAATTCAATTTTTTTGCCAAATGGATAGTAATTTTATATTAATTAATGGATCATATTCTAGAGTACTCCAAATTTTAGAACAATGATTGTTCAGTATTTTTTAAAACGTAAATATTTCATTTAAAGTTATAAATATTTATATATCATAGCAACGGGAAAGCGACAGAAAATCTAAAGGAGACTCACAACATCATCACCCACAACAAGTTCCAACTTCTACATCCTCGTCCAAAAAAAGACGTGGCGGAGCTGTGCCCAAGGAAGAAATAAAACCACGTCGCCTTATCTCTAAAGAAAATCTTAGTTGCGATTCCAAAGAATCGCCCAAGGAGATTATGAAAGAGGTCAAAGAAATGTCTCAGAGCGAACCTCAAGAATGGCGTGTACCACCTCCTCCACCCTTTTTCCATCCAGCTTTTATGTTCGGCCCGCCCCCATCCCAACATAACTTTCCTTCTCATAACTTTCCTCACTCACTCCCTTCACACGTCCCCCCTCCGTTTTCCCCCGATGCAGCTTCGGCCGCTTGGAAATCGATGATGACAGCCATGATGGAAAACGAAACCTCACCTTCTATGGGAGGTGCTTCTGGTAGTAATAGTAGTGGTTCGAAAAAACGGGCAGGAAAAGGCCGCAGAGTTCATCCTCTAGAACCAGATGGCGCTCCTCCTGGAATGCCTTTTTCCCCTTTTGGACATCATATGCCTCCCCCTCCTTTCCCACCACATCTTCTGGCCGCCGCCTTAGAGGATTATTTTTCCTCCGGCCCTCCTCACGATTCACGTACCCACGACGATTCGAGATCGTCCTCTTCTCCCAAAGATATGGAATTCCCGCCACCACATTTTCCCTCTATGTTCGCATCGCCCCATCACCCGTTTGCACCTCCCCACTTTCCCGGATCCATGTTTCCACCCCCATTTTTTATGCCTCCGCACTTCGCTTCCTCTCCCAGAGGAGGTTCTTCTTCATCTATCCCTTCTCTCAACCCACTAGCAATACGAGGAGCAGAAAAACATACCTTGGAAGACTCGGCCGATAACTCTAATTATTTTCCTTTCAAAGAATCGCAGGGACCCGCTAAGAAACGAAAAGTAAGGGAATCCCCAACTGCTGCAACAACTACACACGCCACACCCGCCGAAAATTTCGTGAGCTCTTCCAGTATCATGGCTGCGGGAGGTGGAAGGTTATTAGAAAAAATCGTAAACAAAATAAAGAAAAAGGGAGCTTGAATGATTGGTCGATGCAACATGCATGATAGGTTTGAAGGCTGCTGCTTTGTTAGTCAAAGGAATATGATTTTATTATAAAGCATGCATTTTTTCCTGTTGGTATTTATAATTACGAAATCTATTTGCCGCGCGATGATCATTTTTGTTCCTATCTTGATTCTATTTTTTAGATACCAGTTTGTTTGTCTCAGGAAAATGCGAAACTACAAATCCAGTTAAAAATGATTCTTTTTTTTTAAAAAAAATGATATTTATATAATTTTTTTTATAAAATATATAATATTTCGATATCATGTAACATATTAAAATTATTTTAAAATAATACATTAAAGTATCCTTAGAAGTTTTATATGCGCATTAATTGTGAATTTTTTTTCTAGGAACACCTAAGCCCCCCCCCCCCAAGCCCCTTCACCTTTTATTTCTACAAATTGAGGAAAATAGATTCTTATTTTGTAATAAGAGATTTATTCGTTGATTGGGTTGTTCATATGGCACATTGTATTTCTTTTGTATTATATAGTTTAACCCTAAAATACAAGTATTTGTTTGGCACCTGCTAACTAATATATCTATTTCATTTTTATAATCTTTTTTAAAAAAAAAATTATATTATATATTTATTGATGATTGTAACATAAATAAAATAAATTTTTATCTTTGTGTCCCCAAGTTTCAGTTAATTTGATTTGAACATTGTTTTAAGTTGAATAAGTAAGGAAATTCAGGTCCTCGGTGAACACGTCCCAGTTTGTTATACCAAACAATATTTAGCAACAGCTGTATATTTAATGTAATTTTTAGTATTATTAAATTTTATTTTTTCTTTCTTAGATTGAAAAACGAAATTCACTATATCGCATTAAATTTGTAATGAGCGTGATAAACCCCCGGGCATTATTCTGCTCACACAGTTAGTGCGAATGTTAGTTTCGAATTTCGCTCTAACTGGAAATGCGGGGTTTGTCCTATTAAATTCATTTAAGAGTTATTAAAAACGAAGACACGACTTCTTCTCGATTCACGCGCATCTAGTGTTGTTAAACGGCTCGATTTGAGCCGATTTTTAAAAACTGCTAACTCAATATTTCACCCAGAAAAAATTTATGCAAGACTGAAGATTTTGATCATAGGTTTTACATCTTTTAGCAAGAAAAATAGGCTTAGGCAATATTTTTCTTGCTAAAATATTGAGTCAGCCGTTTTTAAAAATAGGCTCTAATCGAGCCGTTTAATAACACTACTCGTATCCTCACATCTCCAACAATTACCAAATCTCATATCCTTACCTGTCTTTTTTTCTCCCGTTCACGGATTTGACCATCCAAATTAGTTAATATACTGTGTTTGGCATGCAAGTATTAATTACAAACAGTATTTATTAAATAAAATCCAGAATTTTTTTATGCCATTTTGATTGGACCATTTTTTTAAAAATAAATGTAAAAATTAAGGTTGGAAGGAAGCGATATCACGAATTTTTTGATATAAGTCACTTGTTGTGCTTATAATAAGGTGGAAAAAAATAGCCTCAATGGAAATAAGAATGTTGAGATGGATGTCAGGGTGGGTAGAAGTCAGAGATCTGCAAAGCTCCCATTCGTAAACTCGCAAGCTGATCAAATTTAAAATATTTAATGTACTAGGCCAGGCAAAAATTATAACTATTTGTGGATAAAAAATAAACGGGTCGGGCCTGACAATACATACAAAAAGATTAGGTCGAACCTTTTAAATCCTGGATTTTGAATTGTTAATAATATTTTATGGTTTATTAATTGAGGATACTTTAATCAGATGTAATCATTTTTGGAATTGAATTATAAGGGATTGAATTCTTTAAAATAAACGCATTGAAATTTTGAATGGCTGCCTTTATTATTCTTTAGCGCCATCTATTATAAATATAACCTTTATTGAAATAACAATGAGCTTATTTTTATTCCAAGTACTGTCTTAAATTAAATCTATATATGTAAATTTGTTCCTTTTACAAAAAAATTTATAGATTTAGCTAGACATTTCGTAAAATTTTAATGGGTCAGCCTGGACATTAAAATTCAAATTTCAAGCCAATATTTAGTTTACATAATTCCGTCAGTTGATAAAATAACTCATTTTCAACAATTTTGCAAAGTTTTATAAATTTAAATATGGAATTTTATTTAAAAATAAGCCAAACAGTTTTTTTTTATTCCAAGCGATAAAAAATTTTTTTTTTAACTAAAGTTGATCTAAGTTAAGTAAAATTTTACGACAAGAACTAAATTATGGTGCCAAACGATTATTTCAAGAATTCCCAAATAGAAATTGGTCTCTTTCGAGACCCAATCTGATTATTCGCAAATGATACAATGGAATCGGAAGACAAAAGGTATGGGGGGGGGGCATTAAATGCTCGAACTTGGGCAAATATTCAATTCAACTTATTAATACACATCTAATTAGTGTTGTTAAACGGCTCGATTTGTACCGATTTTTAAAATGGCTAACTCATTGTTTTATCCAGAAAATTATTATGCAAGCCCTAAATAATTTGCTCATAAGATGGCTCAAAGGTTTGGACATCTATAATCGAAATCTCGAATCGGCTCAAATCCAACAGTAATATAAGTCAAGTATTTGTAAAATGAGGAAATGACAGATAATTCGTTCCTAGCTATATATTTCTTGGAATCATTTTGCGCGAACAAATAACGAAAAATAATAAATCATTCTTGTATTACTATGAAATTATTATAAATTCAAATTATTTTCTGATTTGAAAAAAAAAAGGTAAGCACGGCAAGGCATTCAATATTTTTATTTTCAAAATGTTTTCCAACTTCATAGGTAAATATTTAACAAAAATTTTTCCAAGAATTTATAACGATAAATAAATATTTTCAAATTTCTTTTATAATATCCTTGAAACTTTATCAAATTCGATTATAAGATTAACTTCTTATATTTCAATTTATATTTAACGAACAAATTTTCAACAATGACATCTAACGGTCTCTTTTATAGCCTATTCCAGTGTCTAATATGCTTGCTTTCTCTTGTTTTCGTAGACGTGAATACTGAACTTTCTATTGGTACATATTTTTCTTTATAATTTAAATAATTGTAAAAATTTGATATTAATTGCTTATATTTTATTACTCGGACTTTTAAACAATTTAGAAAATAATTTTATGGAGGTGTTCACATTCCCAAACGGTAGCCATTGTTGTGAAATTCAACAAGAGTCCGCCAATGATATAAAAGAACTTACAATCGAGTTATATAATATGAAGATGGTGAATGAGAGTGGAAACACTTTTAATTTAAAAGTTAAATTTATCGCGTCGAATAAAACATATATTTATGGCGTGTTCGAAGATAAGGGTAAATTCAATAAGGGAGACAAAGCTATTAAAAAAAATCATATCAAGAAAAAAGACAAGAACCAGGTATTAAAATAAAATATTGTTTAGTTTCTAATTATAAAACTTATTTTGTATTATTTTTCAAAATCAAATTAGAAAAATTACTTCATTATTAGAGGTTTAAAGAAAAGCGCTACATACTACATAGTCGTTTTCGTTGTATACAAAAATGATGACAATAAGCGTGAAAAACGGATTTCTGCTAGACGTATAGTCAGATGTATAAACTATATAATTTATTCAATCTTTTTTCCCTCCCATATGAAATAATAAGATTCTTCTTTTTTTTAAATTCTAATTTCAATTATACCTATGCTTTTTGATTTGTATATTGTATGCTACGGACAATATTTTACTCTAATGGAATGCATTTCCGGCAAAATGGAATCTTCTTCGAATTTAAAACTCAACAAATCGTTTCCCTACTTTTTTTTTACAATTTAAGCACGTTTTTAAATTTGAAAAATCGGACTTCCAGAAATACAATCCAGCATTTGCAAGATACCTACTCTATAAATTTCAGTCAATTTTAAGGAGATATACATGTGTTGGCCGTAGCCCTGCGTTCACAGTTAGCACGAATTGGCGGCAAAGTATTCTGTACTTTTTTGTATTCTTATATACTTCGCCACCAATTCGCGCTAACATTGAATAAATGCAGGGTATATTATTTATAGTCTGCCTTTACAATTTTTTTTTATATTATATAATAGAATTTATAAAGACTTTATTTTATAGAATCTCGATATTAGCTGTTTACACTAGTGATCTACATCGGGCCTAATTTTTCAAGCCCGGCCCGGCCCGAAATTTTTTAAATATAGAAATTAATTCTTATAATTACTCAAAATAAACGATATATGTTATATGGCGTCTATTTTCTATAAATAAAATCACATATTTTTATTTTACAAAAAAAAATAACATAAAATTGATAAATTTAGATATATTTTTAAAAAAATTTAAAGCCCGACCCGGCCCGGGCTGAATTTTTTTAAAAAATATTAGGCCACTTTTACAGATCTCTAGTTTACACTATTTGTAGATTTCGTTAATTCAAGATTTTTATTTTGGAAAGATCTTACGAACATTAATATCGTCCCAGTTAAAATTCAAAATGAAAATGTAATATGAATGTCATTCTTAAAATCGGTTGTTTAGTATTTAATTACAAGAAATTTTAATTGCAAATATCATGGATTTTCTATAGACATTAAATGTATACACCTGTAAATAGAATTTTTTTTATTTGCATATTATTATTTTTATTTAATTATAAATATTTTTAAAATAATTACAGATATTGAATCATCAAAGAGTATCCAAATCGGTATAAAATAAAATCAATAATTATGAATCAAAAATATTCTAATTTTTTTTTAAAAATATAATGTAATCACCATTTACCCATTCACCGTCTCAATAATAATATATAATAACTATTCTTTAGAGATCCAAAATCTCAAAATTAGGGCCTTTAAAAGCTTATCTCCAATAATAACTGAAGTGGCCATATAAAAGGCCACCTTTATTAAAGTTTTATTATAAAATGTGACATGCATTATTTGACAGTTAATTCCTCGCTTGGCCCAAAGATAATTAAGGTAACGTTGGTTTCTTTGAAAAATGGAGAATTAGTTTTATTAGTATCTTGCCGTCATGACATGGACCCATCTGAAAATATTGCTGGATACCTCGCTGAAGTATCACCAACTCGTTTAGACATGAATTCACATAAACAAAAACAATTTAAAGAAGTAAATTTTGTATCTATGCGATAATTTATAAATAATTCTGACTAAAAAGAGAGAAAATATCAATTTTTTATTATAGAAATTAGTTTTTTCTTTAAATTATCACAGCTACTTTAATGTGTGTGCGAAAGGGAGGGGGGGGGGGTGGTAATTTTTAAATTGTTATTATTTGAAGAATCTATTAAAGGGGTTTTTTAAATTAATATTCATGCGAACACAAATAATATATAACTATTCGATTTGATTCAAAGGCAATCGAATACTATTATATTGGCAATCATTTAATTTATATTGTAGGTATAATTGAGACTACAAAGTCATAATTTCTAAGTCAATTTATATCAATATCATCATTTTTTGAATATTTTATATATTTTATTTTTACAAAGATTTCTTTTTATATTATAGGCTGGTATGCGAGGGATGGATTTTACATTTTCCAATGTTACACAAGGTCTTGAATACGAAATATCGATAGCCACCATACTCAAAGGGGAAAAACGGCAAA